TGATATACAGGGTGTCCCAGACAATGTGAACAATCTATTGAATGAGAATAGGGCACATTAAAATATCCGGTTTTTTAATCTGGAATGTTTGGAAAAGACACCCCCGAAAAGGGAATTTTCTGTGTCAAATACAGCGAAAACATTTTTTTTGCAATTCATTCAATGAAAAATTTCGTCCCAGATTATAAATTTCTTTATAATAAACGCACTATTTCCTTTCGATTCGACAAGAAATTACATGCGATGAATCTTGTATATTTTTGAAAAAATAATTTTTTCATTGAAGTACCTAAATACTACTCTACTAATCCAAGTAGGGACAACACCTCAATCCCCAATCACCCGCATTTCACGAAAAAAATATGTTTCCGAAATGATCGTTTTGTCTATCAAAGCTTGAATATCTTGGCAGGAGTGCGTATTCTGGAAACATTTCATTTGAAGAAGTACTCTTATTTTTTGTGTCCTATACAGATCGAGAGGTTGTTGTTCTGGCATACCCTGTACAAAGATTCTCTCATTTCTCTTTCAGAGTTGAATGAATAAAAATCTTCACGTAACAACCTTGCTTGCACTTTTAATGTCGACCAGAAACCGGACTATTTTTAATGATTATTGTCCTTGGAACAGGAAAGTTATCTTGTTTCATTATTAACATTCGTATGTTGATGTTTGACGTAGCCTATAAATTTTTCCTGAGGATAAGTATACAATAAAGTCGGAAATTGAAATCCCAACGAGCTTAACTTTCACTTGTAAAAATCAAATGTGCAGATTCTTATTCAAATTACTCCTTAAAAATACACGGTGATTCTCAACTTATACCTACGCATAAACATGGGAAATTTAAGCTCATGATGAAAAACAATGATGCAAAAAAGTTTTCCTACGACTACTACTGTAAGTGATGAATATTGTACACAAAACAATGGCAGTAAGCTTCTCCTTACACACGTGTGCGTAAAGAGAGCGATCGCACGGTTTTCATAGGTATGTTGATAGATGTAGAGTATATTTCCAAGAATTATCAAATTCGATGAAACCGTCATCACTCTGGTCGATATATTCCATGTTACGATCAACACTGAATATCAATCATAACATTAATATAGCAACATATCCCAAGTTAATATCTTTCCTCAAAAGGAAATCGGATGGATTCCGAAGTAAAAAATCAAAAATACTCAATGCTGAACAGATCAATTATTTTCTGCAGAATGCTCCCGATGATGAATATTTGTTCATGAAGGTAATTTCTCAAATAACAAACATACTAAACATTGAATTGATAATTCCTTTTAAATAAAGAAAATAATTAAAAAAGTTCAATCTTCGAAGTTATATTTATAAAATATCTTTCAGTGCGCAGTCAAGTTAATAGCTCAGTTGTTAGAAGCGCTGGCTCCGAGTCCGAAGGTCGGCGGTTCAGAGCGCAGCTGGAGAACTTTTTTTAATTATTCTTAAGAACGCTTAGAGACTCTCGTGCTAACAAAGTGGAGAACCTAATCATATATAATATATTTTTTATTTTAGGTAGTGCTCATCCTAGGTATAAGTGGTGCCTGTAGAAAACAGGAATTGCGAAATATTAATCCTGAACATGTAGAAGATACTGGAAAATCTTTAATAATCACCATCCCGGATTCCAAAACGAAAATTCAGCGTTCTTTTGTTGTATCCGAATCCTTCTACCCAACATGCAAAAAATACATGAACCTCCGTCCTCTAGGAGAAAATATTAAATTATTGCCCTTCTTTCTGAACTATAAAAACAAAAAATGCACTAAGCAGTGTGTCGGTATTAATAAATTTGGTAGTGTACCTAAAAATATTGCCAAGTATCTGGGATTGTCAGATGCAAACCAATACACTGGACATTGTTTCAGGCGTTCGTCAGCCACCATTCTTGTGGATGCTGGTGGTGACTTACTAGCACTGAAAAGACATGGTGGATGGCGTTCATCAGCTGTGGCTGAAAGCTATGTTGATCAATCACTACAAACGAAAACTGACACTGCTTCAAAAATCACTTGTGCAATAAATAATGAATCAAATAAGTCTTCCTCTTCCAACGTCGATATAGTGAGGGATAATAATATAAATCTGGAAAACAATATTGTATCAAACAATACATATGCTACAACTACACACTATACTAACACAGGAAAAGAGGTTTCTAATCCTTCATTTACTTTCAACAACTGCACTGTTACAATAAATAACCATTATAAATGTTAATTTTATATTTTTATATGATGTGTTTTCTGCTATTAATAAAGTTCTTTAGATATGAAAAACGGCTTCATTCCAGTTCGAATTAAGGAAAATGTCTCGTTATGCAATGTATCAATGAACAAACACAAGAATTGTGATTTGTAAATTTTCATGCAGCTGGCTTAGTGATGGGAGACGTATATATAGGTATTCGTTATTTGTGCCTATCCGGAAGAAAATATAGTGTAGTCGTAGAAAAAGTATAGTACAATTCTCGAGTTGTAAAGCAATTACGCACTTGTGGAGTTACACACTCGCCGCTATGCGGCATCGTGTGTAACTCTCTCCACTTCGTGCGTAATATGCGTTTTACAACTCTTGTTATGTAATATACTATTAATGACAGCTTTTTGGTTTCTGAAATATTACATGCTTGTTGAATCGGCAATTGCTATTTTGTACTTCTTCGAATTGTTTACGAAAATATTATTTTCAGGGAACTTTTGCATTATGACATTAGACAGTGAATTCCAAATTAATACTGAATTTTCCCTTCAATTATTGAACACAACCATGCTAATAGAGACCCAATATATCCAAATTGAAAATAATTAATTCCAGATTGGACAAAATATGCAGAATTTCTGTGATGGAAAAAAGTTTGACATTGTATCTCTGTTGTCAGGTTAAAAAATATCACTTTTCATAAACTACTTTTTTTTTCCCACGAGAAAGAAGTGAATACTTTAGTCGCGGTAACCTGTAAATTACTCAACAACCACTAAATTCGCAATTTATTAAAATCGAATCACAGAATCAGAATGAAAGATATTTGATTACTTCAAAAGAATGATAAAGATGCATGCAACAAAGGTGTCATTACTGTTAAAAACTTCAAACTTGTACAAACTATCATCAAAACTATGTTTTTTTTTCTAATATATGGTTGGCGTATGTTGAATTTGTTTTCTTTTTCAAAAAATTCATCTTACGTTCATGAATGCGCTGATTAAACGTACGACCTGTCTGACCGATATATACCTGATTTTTAGAATTTAGAAGTTTTATCTTCATTATTCTTGATGAACCTTCCCAACGTGTTTTTGTTTATGCTACTTTTTTTCATCAAGTAACGGCTGAGTCAAGTCAACATTTCTGAACAATATTTTTTGCCTTCCATATCAATCTATATATGCTTTGATATATTGATCAACTTGAATTTGTCTATTTTGTTTCATCAATTCAAATGCGTTTTACCGATTTGAATGAATACCTACCTACATTCCTAATTTGAAAATGATTATACTCTCAATTTGAATTTGAAAACGTATAGAATTCAAGGCAATATCGTGGGTTTCTTTCTGAAAATTGACAAAGCTCTGAAGCAAAAACGGTTTCGTTTGTGCTAGATTAGGTCAATACTTTCAAATGATGAAATCCCATTTTTCTCTGAAACATTCATAATATTATCCTCGTGACATTGTCTAGTCTAGACTATTTGCTTGACGTGATAATAATAATTCATATCATGTTCGTAATGCAATGCTTTTGTGCCTATGGGGTTTTGATCACTCCATCTTGCTTACCTTGATATCAATAAAGATTGAAATGAAAGTTGTCATGATCTATGAGGGATTATTTTCTAATTATAGATCATGCAGAAGGTGGAAACATTATTCATTCATACAGAGTGTTTCCGAAATTAGGGCGATAAACAAAACGGGTGATGGAAAACGAAAAGATATACAGGGTGTAATTAGATTGATTGCTAAAAATATAGGTTATGATTCCTTAGCTAATTTAAGAAGAAAAATTCATCTGAACATATGCCCTAAATCCCTAAACTTTCGAGCTATAGGGTGTTAACATTTTAATTTCTCTTTAATATTGATTGAAGAAACTTTCACAATGTCAAAAACGTTTATGAATACTTGTCAAAACGTAATCGATCAAATGTCGTTATTTTGAATACAAAATAGGGCACCAGCCCACTAGTCCAAAATAATTTCGTTTAGCCACAAATGCATGAAAATGGTTTTTATTTTTTTCACGCGGATACGGTGTCAGCCGGGAAAAAATTCGAGTAGTCAAATTGTTGCAAAACAAATGAGGATTTCAAAAATGAATTTTATCTTTGGAAACAACAAGGGCGTGCAATATTTTTTTCAGAAAATCCCATCCCATACGAACGCCACTAGTAGAAGTATCAAAAAATCTCCTGCATAAAATAATGCCTATTGGCGCTTAGTAGGTCTATATCAAACTTCATGAAAATATCTAGGACAGTATTGAAGTTAAGAAAGATTTTTTTTTCTTGAAATTTCAACATCCTATAGTTCATTTGGCTTTTTGTTTCAACTCGTTATCACATGACGGAAGCATGTCCGGAATAATGGCAGTACGTTTTTGAGATCTACCAGAAATTGAGTGCAAATCATTTTGCTCAGGATGATTGGCACAGGTGCACAATAAATTTTAACTTCACTCCATGTAAGTCCAATGTTTTGTTTTCGCTAATTTTGTATAATGTTATGATCCTCTTTGTAGTACTGTTTTGTTTGGGCTGAAGATGTACTTTTATAACTTCGAAACATGCTCCCCTGAATAACTCACATCATTAAAAATTTGTGGAGATGACTTTGAGCGTTTCTTCTTCCCTTTGATATAACATTTCGTTATCAGATGACTGTCGAAATTTACGCTATTTTTTTCCTCGAAAACATTGAATTTGAAGAATGCGGATACTCAACTTAGATGATCCTAAATGTGTAATGTTTCGATTTTAGACTGAGCTGAGCGAGAGGTTGAGACTGAGACGGAGTCGTGGCGATACCAGCGAAGACGACGAAGGCCTTCCTCATAGCCCTTGCAACTCACCGACAGCCTCCGATGGCCTTCTTCGCGATAAGACTGCAATAAAAGTGAGTAGCTATAGAAGACTCAGGAGAATTCGTTGAAATATCCCAAAATATATTTCATGTGTGCGCCACTGGCCATCCCTGTTTGCACTCTTGACTGTAAACCATCTGGTAGTTATTTTGCTCCTGTTATTTTGTTGAATTAATGCATATCGAGAACTATTTCTACTCACTACATCTTCACATTTGCAACAAGTACTGACAAATAGTTTACTATATCTACAAAAATTGGTCCTTCGAGCCGGATTTCAATATATTCGATATAATCGTGCATTAGAAATGAGTTGCTGTAGAACCAGACATATCGTATGTTATCCATATAGACCTCAATTGCCTTTAGAAATTGAGTTAAATACGGTCAAAAACAGTGAATATATTTAGATTCACCAAGCTTCTAGTTGTCTTTGTATTCCCGGACCCAATTGCTTCATAGTTTAGGATTTTCCGGATGTGCAAGTGCCACATAAAAAAAACAGAACACTCAGTTGTTATTGTTTGAATGCATTGAGATAACGATGCGGCAAAGGTTACTAACAAAAAATGTAAATAAAACGAGTGTGATAGTCCGATGAACGTCGAGCATAATGAACTTCAGATAAGAACTTTTTAAAGTGAATAGAAAGTATGGCTGCAAAAATAGATAAAGTGTGTACATCATAATCAGAGAAGAACCACAGTTCTTTGAGTTCGAAATTTTCATCTGAATTAAAGACCCCACTTATAAATGGTACATGGTAGAGATAAATGCCATTATAGAATTCTCGGTAGTAAACATCTTGTTAAGCTAAGCCAAAGGCAATTATCTCACTGAGCTTAGGCGAATACGCGACGGTGTTTCAGGCAGAAATTATTGCAATACATCATTGCCTAAAAGAATTGATAAGGCAAGAGTTTGAAGGAAAAACCATTGCAGTCTATTCAGCAGTTAACTCAATGCAAGTTAACTCAAAACTAGTATGGGACTGGGACCTGGGCAGTCAGGACAGACTGACTCTAACATGGGTACCAACACATACAGGGTACGAGGGCAATGAAGAGACAGACTCACTTGCCCGAGCAGAAGCAAACAAAGCCCTGAATGACCCAGAACCCTTCTTGTGGTATTGCGAAAGTTATACGAAAGACAAGTATGCAAAGAAAATCTCAAGAATGGTGGAACAACTCGCCATGAATGAGTCAGGCAAAAGAGTTCATTAGAAAACCATCGCCAACATTCACAGAATATCTACTGAGCCAGAAACGAAATACAACTAGAATACTAGTGGGACTTCTCACAGGGCATTGCAGGCTCAACCAACACATGAGTACGATAGGTCTGACTGAAGAACTGCTGTGCAGGTTCTGTCAGGAAGAGGAGGACACAGCAGTACACATACTTTGCCACTGTGAGGGTTTGTCGAGACTAAGGTTCCTCACGCTGGGTGAGGAAAAACCAAGAGCCCAAAGTTACACAGGGGATCTGACTGGAGTCTCATAGAGAAGGCGGGGCTAGCAAAAAAACTCAAAACGATCTTGAGGACACAATAGATCTGAAAAGATCGCGGTGTGGAGGCAGATAGCACGAAAGCCCCACTCTAAATCTAATCTAAACACCTCGGTAAACACACTATGAATGAGATAGGTATGATTCCGTGCAATTTATGAATCTTTATTAGTTACTTCGTATTCAATTCATCAATACAATTTATGCAAAATGAAAAAATAACACAAAAATTGTTTCTCTGTCACTTAACGGCAGGAAATGTGTACTTTCTCTGCCTAGGCAGGCAAGTAATTGACACTGACATTGGGTGAACACAAAATGATGGAGATTTCAATAAAAAAATCACACACAACAAAAGAGAAAACATTATATATTTCACACGGCAGCAAAATAAATGTAGATTGACTGCCTTGGCTGAATTCGTATCATACGTAGCAGTCAGTCTACTACTTTGCTGCCTAGTAAAACAAATTGCTATTGTTATAGAATATCATAAAATGTTTTTTATCCTTATTCTACTTGTTGATCTCCTTTCTATATAAAGTGACAGATCAGGAACCAGGAACATTATTTGATATGAACAAATACAACTCCTGAAGATCATACAAAACTGGCTTATATTACATGATAAATGCTCTCTTTTTCATTTTCTGCATTGAAATAAACATAACCTACCGACTGCGCCATTTGTAATAAAATATCATCTAAATATATTTCTCATAAATTTCACTTGTTCATCTACTTCTATAGCAAAATAACATGTGGAAATGATTTATAAACCTATGTAGATATCCCACTACCTTTTTACTTATTTATTTTGTTTTCTCTCAGTGACGGTGAGGGTGAACCTATTTCGACAGGATCGTATAGTAAAAGCTCTCGCTTTTTGTTTGTATGTTCGTCAATAGAGTACCAATCAATAACTGGCAAAATGGCAGTGTTCGCAAAACACCTGAAATGCGACCTTCTCGGTCTACGACCGTGCTATTGAATTACACCGGGTGTTGTTTTGATATGCGTGACATTTCGCCATGATCAGGTTCTCTGTTCGAGTTACGATATCGCTGGCTTCGACTTCGACAGGCTATATGATCTGTAATGCAATGAACATTATTTAAAAATTACAAAACAAGCTTATCCAAACTGAGTGTTCTTCATTGGTAACTCCGATAACTTTAATACTACGACAGTACGACATTGGTTAAATTAGCACAACTTATTCTGGCTGATTACAATGGTGAAAACAACAGTCTATGCCGATTTGCAACTATTTTCGAGATATTGTCAGTTGAAACTTGTCAAGTAGATCAAAACAAAAATTCAAAAAATTTGTTTAACGTGACGAAGTTGATGATAAATAAGAAGTTTTATTCAATTACTAGACAACCAACAAAAACCTAAAATATTTCAATAAACGGTGAAACCCTCGGGGCAAATGAAGTAGTGATAACATTCTTTGACCAATTAGATGTCCAGTGGCGCCGTTAGGGGGATATTATTGTTTGTTTTTTACTGACAAGTGAGCAACGGAGGAAAATTCACGAATTTCATTAAATAATATGGAAGTCTATTTAATTTTTTACAAAAAAAGGCGTCGGAGAAACTGAAAAACGATACTCCAAATTTTGATGTAGATAACCATAATCTGTAACATTCTGAAATTTGTGGACTATGCCAGTCACATAACAGGCTACATTTTGTCATCACGAAAAGCTATACAGAGTGGACAAAACAAGAATCTATGAATATTTTCAATTTTGACGGCCTGTATCTGGAAAACAAAACGATTCATGGGGATTTTTAGTCCTAAAATGAGACAAGAAAGCACCGCCTTCAATATGTAAATGACATTAAGGAACACCCTGTACAAAGGTGCGAAACTCGTTACCGATGCTATAAAAATGCCCCAAGTTTTTTTTTGTAAGTATTAAGATTTATATCATTTCTACTACCACTGCTACCAGAATATGATTCTTCAAACACTTCTACATAAAAAAGGTTTTCGGGGTCGCAGATTATGATTCTTTCGTCAAAATTGGGAAATTCAAGATGGAGGATCCAATATGGTGGACGAGTTTTGTAATAATTATTATCCGATTCTATTCAAAATTGGTATCTGGTGTTTGTCGGGGGGGTCGGAGATTATAATTCTTTCGCCCAAATTCAGAAATTGAAGATGGCGGATCCAATATGGCTGATTCAATATGGCGGACTAGTTTTGTAATTATGATACGATCATATTCAAAATTGTTAAATTCAATATAGCTGATCCAATATGGCGGACGGGTTTTGTAATCATGATCCGATTCTATTAAAAATTTGTATCTGGGAGTTTACGGGGTCAGAGATTATGATTCTTTCGTCAAAATTAGGAAATTCAAGATGGCGGATCCAAAATGGTGGACGAGTTTTGTAATTATGATCCAATTTTGTTCGAAATTGGTATCAGGGGGTTTTCGGGGTCGAAAATCATGATTTTTCGTGAAAATTCAGAAATTCAAGATGTCGGATCCAATATGGCGGACGAGTTTTCTAATTATGATCAGATTCTATGCAAAATTGGTATCTCGAAGTTTTCGGGATCGGAGATTGTGATTCTTTCGTAAAAATTGGGAAATTCAAGATGGAGGATCCGATATGGTGAACGAGTTTTGTAATTAATATGTTCCGATTCTATTCAAAATTGGTATCGGGGGTTTCCGTTTCGAAGGTTATGATTATTTCGTCAAAATTTGTAAATTCAAGATGGCAGATCAAATGTGGCGGACGAGTTTTGTAATTATGATCCGATCATATTCAAAATTGGAAAATTCTCTATGGCGGATCCAATATGGCGGACGGGTTTTGTAATCATGAACCGATTCTATTAAAAATCTGTATCTGGAGATTTTCGGGGTCGAAGATTATGATTCTTGTTTCAAAATTTTTAAAATTGGAAACACGCAAAACATTTTAAAAAACCTGAAAACACGTTTTTGTAGTTAGTCGTTTAGTTATTCATATCGTCGTTATTCACAGTTCCTTCTGTACCTATTTCGGTGTGTGATTTTTTGACATGAAATTGAGCGGTGACCTAATCACTGAATTATATTATACCGAGCCTCGCAGACACTGAACCGAAACTAATGAGTAGATACCTATTGTTAAATACCGACTTGATATTTCTCAGCGCTACCTACATTAGCTCATCGATCGATAATTTCGAATGAATTAATGTAATGTAGATCAAGACCGAGTGAATCCAAGTCACAAGGAAATGAAAACGGTGTTCAGCGTGTTTGAAATCGTCTTCTTACATAATAATACCCGCAGGTTGAATACAATACATTACCGTATTTCAAACTCGACATCAGTGTATTCATTGCAGTGTTTCAGTAGGTATCAACACAGGCCTATTGTAGAAAGTACATTTTGTCGATTGGTCGTTCTCTGGTTTAGTAGAGCACGGTTTTTGTTCTTTCGTTTTGTGGATTTGAAAGATAATAAGAGTTCGTTGTTTGTTTTCATGGAGTTTTTGGCCAGCTAGATGTTTTGTTATGGTGATGAGTGTTTCTTCCGTAACAACCCACGTTGGATCAACAAGATACGGATCTTTTTACCGTACGATACGTTGCAGGTGACTGAGAAGATCCGGGTGTGATCATGATCTACTTTTCGTATTGAAATATACGGTGACTGCCAAAAAGTCTGCACCATTTGCACCATATGAAGAACTGTTTGTTTTTTCATTTCACCGAACAATTTGTATCTGAAAATAGTTCGTTCAAGTCTTGAAATTTTCGAAACTAGCATAGAAAATAGCTTGCAATTACATTCCACATCCTGACATAAAATTATTCGATAATTTTTGGGCAAAGCAAAAAAATATAAAATTTGAAATAATTAATTTCATTTTTTCAAGATATTTCTCATAATTATCTGGATTTGAAATTTGATTCCATTCTACCTTCTGCCTGTTGGAAATTATTTTTGGAAAATACTTTCTGTAGGCTGATCATGGAGGTGGAATATTTATTACCTTATATACTCTAGGACAGATTTGCCGTTTTTATTTTGTTTTCGACATTTCTCAGTAACAGGAGTAAAATACGTGAGAAACAGAAAAAAGTTTAACTCAAGTTTTGGTTAAAACTTCTGTCATTGAGAAATGTCAAAAAAAAATTCGATAACAGCAGCAGATTCGTTCCCGGAATGTCCAAAGATGAGTAAACTTTCTCCTATTTCAATATGCCTAGAGAAATGAATATTGTCGTGAATTTCAAGAAATGCACAAACTTCTCTCAAAAATAAAAGTCCCGGAGAAGTCAATAATATTATTCCTAAGAAATCGATGATATTTTATATCATTTTACTACAGCGAATGATGTTTTCCTACCATCCTGTTGTGTTTTAATAGGATCAGAAGTGACAATTGAAAAATTTTCGAATCTAACTGTCTTATCTATGGATATTCTAGTGAAGTGACAACCATCTTTTCAAACACAAGTTTTACTTGAAGTTACTTTTAGAACTCATTATACAATTTTCAATAATATCTTGAAATACCTAGACCTTTGTTATTTTTGTTTCAGGATCTCCCGACAAAGTCACATAGTACGTGTAGTGATGGATCCCTACTTAGTATGGATAGTTATGAGGATGAGGTAAGCATTTTGGACAAGTTGCTGCCTAACAAATCGATAAATAAACTGGGCGTCAATTGAAACGTTAATAGTGAAATTTGGCATCAAGTTTGACTTCTCGTAATTTTTAAAATATTGGTCCAATTTTGAATTGCCGCCCAGATTCTGAATACCTTTTTCATCGTCTTTCGAACCGTTCCTTACAACTTTTTCTGAATTGATCAGGACCCGTGATACAGGGTATTCAGAAAATTGACTGACCATGGTAACGTCGATGCGAGGTCGATCCATCAATGATATAGCCATGATGTATTTCTATCGTTCTCGAAAGGTGAAAAGGTATTTACAATGAAAAAATCTAATATACCGGTCGTGTTTAAAATGTTGTATGAATTCGGACGAACTTGCTTTTATGGACCTAGGCGTGTTAGAGTCCCCGATATCGCTAGAGCTTTTACTCACACGCTACGGTCCATAAAAGCCTAAAAAAAATTGTTCTTTTGCGTCCTAGGGTGGTGAAGGGGCACAGCTGGCGTTAAAGTATAGTTTGGCGGGTGATAAAGTAGGTGTTTAGGGTTGTAAAGTTATTTCCTTGTTATTCTTACTGTACCATTTGGTCTCTCTTCGCCACTGGCATACATAATTTGGCCAAATTAATCCGAAATCATGAATAAAATCCATATTGACAGTGAATAAAATAATGTCTAAAGCGATCGTGCATGAAATGTTGTATGTATTTCGGGCGTAACTTGCTTTTCTGGACCTAGGAGTGTCATCATAGCTCTCGATATCGCTCAGGATTTTAGTCGTCCGGCGGGCCATAAAGCAGGGTTGGCATGAATTAATTCATATGAATTGAATCAGTGATTTAATTCGTGAATTAATTCCATTGACTTTTTTCGAAAAAGTCATGAATTCATTAAAATTTTTAAAAATGAGACAAATTGCACTATTACCTTTGATTTTAACTAGTTTAAACTGAAAAATTCGATCGTATTTTGGCAAGACTTTGCTATTTCAAGCATGACAGAGATTTTTACTAACAGATATATACAGTATCAAGTATCATCCATAAAGTCCACAACATATGAGAACAGGTTTATTATCACAGCATCGAATTTTCTTCTCTCGGCGCGATCCATTATGCATATCCGATAACTTGAAAATCGATTTTGACAAAAATAATACTATAAAGCGACGAAAATTGGGGTTTAGTAACAGAATATCCATAAATATTTCTTATTGAGTTGCTATTCCACATTCAGTTTCGAGCAATTTTTGGAGAATTGGAAACAGCTATATTTTTTCGAATATTCTTCAATTTTGTTACAATTCTCTTTTTTTTTGACAGTAGTGATGCTCACATATGGAGTTTCCAGCTATTATTTGAGAAAACTGAAAATAACTATTGTTATTTTTTTTAAATAACTTCATCTTCCCATCTAACTCCACTTCTTGCCATCGTAATATTTTGAATTTACCGCCATACCAGTGATCGAGTGACATGTGTCAAAATCGACTTTTAAAGTCAGACATGCATAATAGATTCCCGAGAAAAAATGTTTCGATATTCTACTAATAAACCTCTCCATGTGTTACGAACTTTATGGATGATACTGGATCTATCTGTATCTATTATTTTGTATTCTATCATCACTTTCAATTTTGTTTTGAAATAATGACATGTTATATTATGATGTTATTCTACAAGATTTCTCAAGGGAATAAAAACATGTTTCTTTTTTTCTATTTCGCTTTGGGTTAACGAAATTTGTTTGTTTTTTTTTTCAACTGAATTAATTCAAAAAAGTCTGACTTAATTCAAAAAGTCGGACTTTGATGACTTTTTTATAAAAGTCATGACTCATTCCAACCCTGCCATAAAGTAGGTGATTGGGGTTGTAAAGTTGTTTTATTCTTTTTCCCATTATTTCTAATATAGTACTCTACCATTCGATCTCTCTTCGCCAGTGGCATACATAATTTGGGCAAATGAATCCAAAATCATTTATAAATTCCATATTGACAGTAAATAAACGTTTAAAACGGTCGTGCATAAAATTTTATATATATTCCGGACGTTACTTGCTCTTATGGATCTAGGCGTGTCAATAACATCGTTGTCGCTCGGTCCATAAAAGCCAACTTTACACCCTCGATACAAAATCCCTATTAGGCTTCCCTTACCCCTTACAATCTAATCCACGTCAAATTAATTTACAAATGTTTAAACGATTCACACTAACATTCTAGTGGTATTTTCAACATTGATGGAAAGTTTCGTGGTAAGGTATATACGTATAGAAACAAATTCACATCGAGAGAGAAGAGGAAGAAATTCTCATAAAAAATCGAAAAATTCGTTTGAAAAACCCATAATGAACATTTTGAATGTTGAAATTATTCAACCAACTATTGATTTTTTTAGTCTAGTTTTATTTTTACTGTCGTCGAGAATATACTAAGTTCGATTATTTTATTTCGATTTTTTGTTGTAGGACTCTTTATGGCCTCAATCAAGACATTCCTCCAAATTATCGTTACACGAAAAACAGCCTACTTCAGGTAATGACACTCTCAACAACCAGGGGCGGATCGACATAAGGGCTTTTTGGGCTGCTGCGGGCCCTAATTGAAAACAATGGACAATAATGTGAATAAAAAACTGAAATCTCAAAAATTCTGATCTTATGCTCTATAATCTATACGAGAATTCTATACATCATGCAATGATGTCTTTCAGTTCTGTTGTTGTTTGTTTGTTTATGTCATACTGGAGAAATAAAATATATGATGCATCATTTTCGAATACAGTATTTCGGATAATAGTAATCAGTTGATTACAAACTCACGGTCCGCCCCTGTTAACAACCATAGTAACTTTTTCTTCTCACCCACGCAGAAGATTTTCTTGGATTTTGAATGTACATTCTATCCGCAGATTCTTCCTTCGAATTTGAATCCGGTTCAACCACGGTACCTTTGAACCATAGCGCAGCGCATCACAGGGTATCTGTCAAACCAAAAAGGACACACGGTCCACCTAGGCGAAAAAGAGGGCAACAGGTAAGAAAAGCGCCCTTTTCTCTAATTTTCTTCCTCATAGCTAGAACTTTGTTAGTCCCCAACAAGAGGCAGTTTCCTATTTGGATGAATTTTCATCAAATCAGTTTCACACTGATTAGGATTATGCTTCGGCAATCTTCAATGACAATTGAAATGATTCAAATCATTTCTATTTTCGAATTGGAGCATTTAAGAAATATTCGGCGGGAAACGATGACGTATAAGGTGAATCTAGAGTGAACATGCCTGTGAGATTTACATCTGCGAACAAGCCCGAACAGAAAACGTAAAAAGTTCCACTTATTCAGAAGGCTTACTCATAATGATTACAAGTATATTATGCAATGTGAATGGAAAAATAATAAGATGAATTTAGAACTTCTTGCTTCATCTGTGATATCCGAAAACATTACAATTCTGATGAAGTAATTAGTATATAAAGATGAAATTCAACTTGAATCACAGCAACTTGATCACAATCAACAAGTGCGAAAACAGTGCCTATGTGACATTAGACCGCGAATGGAAATATATCTACAATAAATTCGCAGCTATCAGCATGGTTTGGTGTAAAACTGGTTTTGGGCGCGGTTGCCAGGTATAATTTACTAATTTCTTGCAAACTATAAAAATCCACTCAGGATCCCTTCAAGTTAGAATTTTATTGTGATTCTATTCATATCAAGATTCAAATTGTAATGGATGTATTCTAGATATTATTGAAATATTTATTTATGTTAAATAATTTGGTTTATACTTTCTGAATAATCAGGAAATCAAATTACAACTATCATTCCCTATGAAGTAGCAAACATTAAAATGAATGAAAATAAAAATACATATATGATAATTTTTCATAAACTTCACGGAGGAATGAAAATCTCAATACAGGAAACTTCCCCATTTGTTTTAACCTCTTATGATCACAGAGTAATCTGTGTCCATATAGTTACCCCTCTTGAAATGGTGTCTGGACGCCATTTTGGAAGATTTTTTCAAATTGAATTGTTGAAATTGTTGAAAATTTCCGCTGAACACAAAATGGCGCAACTTTTCCCATATTTGAGACACACTGTACCTCTTATCTATACTCAGTTTGGAATTCGTTGAAACCTCTCTAGCTCCCGATTTTCTAGAAAAATTACTACATTTGGAATATTTTTAGCTGTCCATAGCTCTACCTGCCACACCAGAAGTCAATGAAGATTCTTCTATAAGAAGTTTATCACCAGAAATTTCGAGGAAAGGTAAATATACGCTTGTGCTTGACAATGCTTAGCAGATGTTTTCTTGTGATGTAAAGTCTGCTGCCCTGTTTCGACGTACTGCTGAAAAAAATTATACAATTTCGTTTTATCATCATTTTTTTCAATGATATCTCCACACTTTTTTAAAGATGTAGTTATTCAAGGGGGCATGTTTCGGACTTATAAAAGTCCATCTTCAGCCTAATGTGAATATAATCAAGGTTACTTTGTTAAAATTGCGAGGCGTGAGAGAATCTTGCTTGATTTTCGAAGTTTCATACCACAGGCATCATGGTAGATTCATTTGGCTTTATATTTACATTTTTAAAATTTTGGTGATCATGAAAACGGTGCGATATATTTTCGACTTTCAATGGCGAATTCATGAACAATTTGAGCTATCTCAAGAAAATCATGTTAAAATAATTTATTTACTCACTTTTCGTACATAACATGAAACGAATTTACGGATATTACATATGATCTCCACACATCACAGCAACGTTAGCCCTAATAAGTACAGAGTGAACAACTAAGAATGTAATCATATCTTCTGTTAGCAAAAATCTATTATGTTGCGGTTCTCGTTGGTCTGTGGAGATTTAGTTTCTGTATTTCATAGTGTAATAAATATGCATACCATAACTTTTTTTTCAAATCACGATATCCATTGATACTCTAAATCACGCCCTCTACCGGCAACGGTGATATAATCATGAAACCAATTCAAATCACACTTGATGAAACAGGACTAGGCATTTACAACGAGCCTAAGATTGTTGAATTCTGTTGAAGATAACCTGAGTTACAAACGTTTAGAAAAATCATAATTTGACGTTCCTCCACCACTATATTTTTTGAGATGAGACAAAAAGTATAAAACAAGAAAAAGAGGAGGTTATCAAAGATCAAAATCTCAGTAGGCCTTGTTACTACTCAATACGGACAAAATTTAATTTTTCTCTCTACCCATAGCCATTACGTCACCTAGCGGTTATTTTAGGAACCTAAAAATAATCTCCAGCTATTTTTTAGGGTCACTTTTCAAAGTTGTATCATTATTCGTTGCTGAGATATGACCGACAGCCGTTTCAAGTTGTTCACTCTGTACAATACTCTCACTCAACTAACATAATATCAATCAATACCTGCCTAACAAACCACTCATTCATGATAATACATATTTTCATTATTCCAAACTTTTTGGGATTTTCTCTCCTCGTTTCTATAAAATAAAATATGAATATTATTTCAATATACCTACGTGTAGTAAGGACAAATCAGATGATTTGCCCCAAAATGTCACTGCGTTTAAAGAATTTTCCTATCAGAGAGCCTAAAAGAAAAATTCACTAGCTTGTCAGTGACAATTTGTATTGAAAAATTTTTGGAGGAGAGAAATAAAGGTATATAGAAAAAATATCAAATTTTCACTTATCTTTGGACGTTTCGGGACCGATTCTGCTCCCGTTTTCAACATGAAAAGAGATTTTTTCTGTGACGGGAAAAAAGTTTGGCATTTCATCTCTGTTGGCAGGTTATAAAATGTCACTTTTCATAAATTACTTTTTTCCCGTGGGAAAAAAGTGAGTACTTCTTTCCCGGATATATATCACATATATATACTCTGTTAATGGCTTTTGTTGTGCTATAGTTCCGAAAAATGAGTCAATAATACCGTCTCCGAGAAAGAACTGCAAGTCCTTTTATCTTCCATTCGACTTCGCGGTTCGTATATTACTAAACAACTACTGAATTCGCAATTTTTTGAAATCGAATCACAGAATTGAACTGACAGAAGTGACATCAGATATTTGATTACTTCAAAAGAATGATGAAGATGCCTATAAAACGCAGGTGTCCCTACTGTTAAAAACTTGAAATTTCACGTCGATAATTTTCAGATTTCGAAATAATGTAATATCTTCTCGATATTGATTCGTCCTTCCTTCTGTCACAGAAAAAAATAGTGTATTATACACGGGAAAAATATTAGATTTTAGCTCACGGTTTTTTGTCTCCCTCCGCTACGCGTCGGTAGACAACACAACCTGGAGCTAAAATCTACTACTTTTTTCCCTTGTATAATAAATAACTATTTTTTCAATTGCGAAGTCGTATAATATGTCTTGAAGCTTTTCAGTTTTCAATGACAATTGGTGACGTTGGCAATCAAATGAGTTACAGGATGTCGAGCCAAGATGTCATCAGATCATAATTTTTCATTCTTTCTTCAAAAAAGTTGAATCTTTCGAAATATTCCTATATCCGAAAAATTTATTGGTCACAATGAATCACGTGATACATTTTGGACGACTGCGTGATCTTTCCCAGAAAATCTTGGAATTATTGACAGGAGTGACGGAACTCGTCAGGTTCCGAAAAACTGGAAACACATCCTTATTGAAGGTCTAATTATATAAGATGGTTACATTGGTCAAAAACTGACCCTTGTAGGTTCTTGTTCATGGAAAATCCGTAAGAGGCGCTGATATCGTCATATTTTGGATGGCCATCGAACAATCATTTATACTTACGATAAAAAAATAAAAGAGTGTTGCAAGTAGGTTCATTTTTGATGGTGTTTAATAAAATCCTGATAATTGAGTTCCTATTTTCATTTTAAAGAGCATTCGTACCGTGACATCTATTTAAATAAGATAAGATTTAACGTTACTGTGCACAGTTTGTAATTAGCGGTCAGATACTAGGAAAGTGCTCGAAAAACTCATCCTGAAGTCAATAAACTTATCGCCAGTAATGTCTATTACATCAGGACACTTCAACGCCGAGAAGGTTTTATATTTTTCCGTCGACCTCGTATTAACGAGTAAGTTTAATGTTTATGAAATCGTTCATTAATGACCCCTATTAATGATCAGTCGTCTATTAATGCACGATTGTTTTATAGGCAACCAAACATACACCGCGTGCACTCATTGTTTATGCTATAACTTACGGAATCTGCATTTAAATCGAAAATATGGATTTGATCGAAGATTTTCTGTTAACAGGTTCGCCTTTCCAAGTTCCGGAAACGATTTTAATCCCTGTTTTTTAACACAAGGAATTTATTTTCTTTGTTAATCATTTCGACAAATGTCAAATGTCACTAATGTCAGTAACAAGGCTACTGGGTGATTCTTAGCAGTTTCCAGATGAATGATGAATTCGCGAACCAAGTTTTCTTCATTGCAGGAGAAATGAGAAATATAGTCGACGGAAAAATTTTGTAACCAACTTGTATATTAAAAGGCGATTAATAATCTCGAACATTAACGCGCTCGCTTCGCTCGCACGTTAAAATATCTCGATCATTAATCGCCCTCATTAATAAACTAGTTGGTTAAATAACTATTTCCGTCGACCTCGTATTAACGAGTAAGTTTGATGTTTATGAAATCGTTCATTAATGACCCCTATTAATGATCAATTCGTCTATTAATGCACGATTGTTTTATAGGCAACCAAACATACACCGCGTGCATTCATTGTTTATGCTATAATAAATCGAAAATATGGATTTGATCAAAGATTTTCCGTTAACAGGTTCGCCTTTACAAGTTTCGGAAAGGAATTTATTTTCTTTGTTGATCATTTCGACAAATGTCAAATGTCACTAATGTCAGTAAGAAGGCTACTGGGTGATTCTTAGTAGTTTCCGGATGAATGATCAATTCGCGAACCAAGTTTTCTTCATTGCAGGAAAATTTTTGTAACCAACTCGCGCTCGCACGTTAAAATGTCTCAATCATTAATCTCCCTCATTTGGCTGACATTTCTCGAGTAGATTGTTGATATCTAGGTTATATTGGGATCTTAATTGGGATTTTCAACTGTTCGTTGTCGTCAAGTTTGGGCAAAACAAAAACGCATCAGTGCTAACACCATAATATTACTTATCAACATCTCAGTTGTCTGACGAAACAATTGAAGGGTGGGCCCACCATTTCGTGTCCATCCTACATTGGCGTAATTATACAATTTTATGTCTTCACATGTGTGTGCTTTTCCTATGTGCTTCTCGGCTTGTCTAATGCCCCATACCGTTTGCTTTGCAGAGACCCTAACCGAGCTTTATAGCATGAACACGACGAGAACGGTTTTAGACGCCCAAATAAAATGTTCTTCTTTGCCTCCCGGTTTGACAGCTGCTGGCGCCGAGCCGAGCAAACTGAACCGTAGCAAATCGAACGCTGGCAGTAAGTCGAACGAATTTTTCTCGACGTTGCTCGAGGAGAAAGAGGAGAAGCTCTCGCTTTTCGACAGGATTTTTCCGAGGAGAAGCGGCAGGAAGAAGAAGAAGGAGGTGAAGCTGGAGGCGAAGACTGCGGGTGTTTTCTTAGAGAAACGAAGTAGGTATTTTCGTGCCTGGTTGGTTATCGGTTTTCCTAATGAATAAGCAATATACAATATACTATTGTTTGACGACCACGGAATGATAGTGATTTCCTACGAGAATGAAGTTTGCAGCATGAGCCATAGGCGAATGCTGCAATCATTCGAGTAGGAAATTAGCATTCCGTGCAAGTAATACACTATAATTTCTCTACGGCTGTAACGGATAACAGCGGCATTTTCGATTTCTTCGGCTTGTAGCCATCTGATTTCCTGTCAAGTAATGCTCATTTATTAGACAGAGCTGTCATTGCTTGCAATTTGACATTCCATGAGCGATGAGATTTTCTTGAGATATTGAGTGTTGAAAGGTGAAATTTATAGTCAATTACCCTGTACAGTTTAGATAACTTTTATAAACGAGATGAATCGATTTATAATTTCTGCTGCGTCATGAAACTAGTGATTTTTTCTTTAATAGGGTACCGAATTTTCCCAAAAATTATATTTTGATGGAAAATACCCCTTTTCAAACATCTACTTTTGATGTTTGATTGAAAATATGAGGGGTACAATAAAAATAATGAATTGAAAATTAAAATGGTATAAAAAAGTACTATTTTTATTACCCTACAGACTTTTAAAATTGATATATCTCGAAAATGGCGAATGATATCGAAACTAAAGAAGAGTACAATTTTTGAGCAAAAATTATGATATTTTTATATTTCCTGGTCAAAACATGCCCCGAGCCCCACATTTTTCACGCATCTGATCAAAGTTTCGGAAAATTCTCAACATTTTCAAATTAGGCATGAAAAGATGGGCGCATGTACAAGATTTGTTTTTTTTATCATAGAGGGTTTCGAAAATATTCACAAAATCACCTCGGTCTTCCTTTTGGATGGCTGTGAACCCCCAGGGGGGCATTTTTGGACCCATCTTCACATGAAGTTTTCTTTTTGTTCCTTTAATCTGTGGTTGAAATCTTTCTATGTAATTTAGGGACACCCTGTATATTTTGATGTTATCGATATGATTTCACTCTAGCTGTCTCTGTTCCGAAATGAAATATAAGTGATATGCGTAGTTGAAAATACAAAGGCATACCGGTCAGGTGTAGTTGCATTTAAAATAGTATATTGTTCAACGAGCACGGAATTCGATTTCTTCCTCTTGTAGCCATCTGATTTCCTGTCAAGTAATGCTCATCTATTAGACAGAGCTGTCATTGCTTCATATTTGACATTCCATGAGCGATGGAATTTTTTTGAAATAACACAATGGAGTTATTGTGATATCAGATACGGAAATAAAATCGATGACATACAAAGTACCTCATTAACGTATCGAACACAGTAAAACAAGAACAATAATGTTGTGTTATACCCGTAGAAAATAGTATATTGTGCAACAAGTGGGAAAAGTGCTTTTCCCCACATGGTGCACAAATGAGAAATATTTTTACTTACGGCACTTTGCCAACACCACATACTTCCATGGAGAATCAACAAAAATTGACCAAAACTCAATTAGCTGCTGTTCAGCTTTGAATAGTTGTGACAACTGTCAGAAGAAGTTTTTTAAATTCTTTAGGACAGTTCTCATTAGTGCTTTCGATAGAAATCGCATTTTCCATCAAATATTCCAATTCCAATTCATAATGAATAATATAATGTATATACCGTGATGTGACGATTTTGAAAAATACACCGCCAGAGACAGAGATAATGGAAGATGCTGCGAAAATTGGGTTTGTTTCCGGAAATTTCAAGAAAAAAGTATGAATTGGTATATTGGTACGAAAAATTATGGAATCTAAAAAAATATAGAAATGAAATCTTTTTCGGAAAGTGTACTTTTTTAAATACTTTGAGGAACTAGGAAAGGTGCCTACTCTTTGGCCACAATATTCAATGTGGCATAGTGCCACATTATGAAATGAATACCAATAAGGTACAGTACTCAGATTCTTTGGATAAGTGCAGTTGTAGAAAAAGTATAGTGTGCAACATGTGGGGAAAAGCACTTTTCTCACTTGTTGCACAATATACTATTCCATATTCTGAGACACCTCGTCAGACTCAGTAATATACCAATATCATGATATCCTCACGCAGATGACACTGAGATAGTCAGCACAGAAACCACCGACTCGGGCAGCACCACCGTCATCCGCTCCGAGACCTCCGCCAAGACGTACAGGGCGGAGGCCTCCAAGCCCATTCCGGCCCCCCGCTCGGGGGCGGCCACGAGGCAACGCGTCCTGCCCGCCGACCTCCCGGAGACGGGCGACGAGGCGCAATGGGCGGCCCCGCCTGTCTCGCCGCCTTGCCAAGTCGAACTGGAGAATAGGGTCCGGCAAAGACAGGTAATGGGAGATAATAATAATAAATCATTCATTTTCCTTTTGATAATACCAATTTTAGTGACGTTTGGTTTGGCAGATGTTGCTATGGGTAACTAACGGCTGCGAAGTTGTACTTCGCGTATTGTGTAGACTGTAGAGAATGCGAAGTACTCTCTTCGCATACGATTTATTATTGACAGATTGCTGACTCCACACTTCCTTTTGGAGGTCAGTTATTTCAGCAGAAATTTGAGTCGAAAATATTCAAAATGAATAGTATTTCTGCTTTAGTGGTCAGTCACTTCCAGTGAATTTTGTTGATTTCGGAATGGAAAATCAGCATATTCATTACTATTACTAACCGTTGAATTCGGAATATAGCGACAGTCAAAATAAAATGAAGATACTCTATATTCAAATAATTTCACCCTGTGAATACCCATTGAAAAATGTCAATCATTTTGACACATTTCATAAATTCATAATGTAGGTGAACTCATGTAACAAAAAAATACAATTTCTGCATTATCAATATTAATTTTTCAGATCTCATTAAGTACTAGTCCAACATCAGTTCCGATACTAGTGGAAAGCCCTCCACTGTCACCTAGAAGCCCAAAATCCCCGCGAATTCCCAGAATACCAGAAACCCAAATCTTGCCAACTGTGATATCATCATCTTCCGAGCACACCCAATTCGTCAAATCTTCTTCAATCACCACCAGGCACATAGACAATAAACCAAGAAGCGAAGAATTCAAAAGCCGAATAAAAATGCCTGGACTCTCATCGCTGCAACAAAGGGCGTTAACCCTGAACGAAGACCCTGGAAGTAATTTCAAGTCCCTCACCGACTTCGCAGAAACCAAATCCTCCAAACCTCTAACAAAATCACGCAGTTTCAAGGAAACCAAACATTCCTTCAACAGCGATATGAAAGCCAATGATATTAACACTAGCACAGCTACGTTTTTATCAGCTGAAAGAGCAGAGGAGAGTAGGAATGCAATGAACAAAGCTGCTTCCCTGGACAGCATCAAACATCTGGAAGAAGAACCTATCCACTTCTCAGAACTGAAGTTCGAACTGAAAAAGTCCAAGCCCGATGTCCGCGTAAAGAATGACGAAAAACCAAACATTTTCGATTCCTTGGTCACCATTTCGGGCCCGAGTCACGCCTCCATAGTGAACATCACCAGCAACAAAGAAGATTTTTCTTCGTCCACCAAATCAATCGAAACTGCTATTGTGGACGGTTCCCACACCATTTCCATAAAGGAAAACCAGGTTTCGGTAACGAAGATACAAGTAGAACAAAAATCCACTCAGCTCACTCAAAGCACCATTACTGTACCCGAATTCGTCGGCAAGCAACTACACAAAGTTGAAATCAGGCCCACCAGCAACATTATTCTGTCCATCAAATCACCTAAGCTTGAAGAACCAACTCGACCAAAGACTCTATTCAACTTCGATGCTGAATCAGAAATTTCTGGGAAGCCTCCAGCCCCAAGGAAGTTCAGCAAGGAAAACCTGGAAATCGTGGAGAAAGATGTGGAATCGCCACCAGTTAAAAACGACGGAAAATCTTCTGTGGTGTCGATCACTCAAGAGTCTCCAGTTAAAGAAAGAAGAGTATACAGCAGACCAGTCAGTCTGGAATCAGACAAATCCTCGCAAGATGATTCGGACAAGCTCGAGGACAAAACAGTAGTGCTGCGTAGAAGCAAGAAGCTGGAAGAAGATCCTCCAAGCTCCATCACGGACAATCTGGAAATCGTTGAAAAAGAAGTGACTCCTCAATCCAACGAATTCAAGAACAAGAGAAAGTCTTCAGTGGTATCGATCAACCAAGAATCTCCAGTAAAGGAGAAGAATAGTTGCCTAGATTCCTTGGACTCGGATAAATCTTCGCAGGATAGCTTGGACAAGCTGGAGGGGAAACCTGTGGTGCTGCGGAGGAAATCTTTGGCGAGCAAGAAAAGAGACGATGAACCAGAATTGATGAAGGTTTTCGCTAGGCGTTCGTTGAAGCTCAAAGACAGCGACGTGGAAGCGTTGCAAGACAGTTTGAGCGAGAACAAAACCAGGGATAGCGACAAGGAGAACCAAATGGACTCGCCAATCGATGAACGCAAGAAAATCTTCACCAAAACCAACGAAACTAGTACAGAAACTGACCAAAGGAAAAAATCCGTTTCCAGGAAAGAAGACTCTCCAGATGTAGTGGAAAACGTTCCCCAGAAAAACGGTGGTGAGGGTTCCCCGGTGCTTTTGCGGAGAACGTTCAATGCGAACATTTTCATTGGGCAGAGGGCGTTTAGTGTTAACACGCCCAAAAGCCAGCCGGAGCTTATAGTGAAGAAGCAGGGGAGTTTCACTGAGAGAAGAAGAACAGACCAGTGGATGACGAACATGAAGAACGAGGATGAGGGGATGAAAGACAGGGTGGAGAGCGACATTATTGATGGTATATCGCCGAAGGGCGATTTCATAACCGAGCCGAAGAATTTCAGTCAGAGGAAGGCTGAATGGGAGCAGAGGGCGCAGCTGGCGCAAAAGAAAACTTCACATTAGGTGAGTTGATTTTTGTTATGATATTTGATCTGGAACTTTTTTTCGATATCTAATGGGGAAGTTTCCAATAAGGTTGACGTTTCATCACGCTGTGAAGTTTGTAAAAATTTAATATACATATCTACGTTTTTTCTTATTTTTTTCGTAATATCAAATTTTACTTCTGAAAAAAATAAATGGAAGAGAAACTTGGCTCCTTCACCTTCAATGTTAAAATACGATTCCCTGTGTCAGTACGACGTTGCCGGCATCATCAATGTGTCTGATTTTTCGGAAATTGTTCTTTGAATACATTATAAATATATCATAACAGCAATGGTATATAATAAGCTTTTCAATTCTACTTTGTCCTGTATTATGAATAATTTTCATAAATCACCTATTTGCTGGATGGAGTTGTTTAATTATGGTACTTTGCAATAGTATCTATAATTTTCCACTTGTTATATTACAAAATGATAACCATAACTGATTTCAAATCAATTCGCTTCCTCATAAAATGGATCCATTTTCTAGGTGAGTTGCAGATTATATCTTGCAATAGCTCATAATACTTTTGAGTTCGTCCACACCACACAAAATACTGACGGGCACACTGACAGCTCATCTGATTTTGTGGTTATGTATGTTTTTGTTTACCAGTTTAACTTCTGTCTTTTGGGTGTATGATAAATTGACATTCATCAGATATAATTCAATGTTCGACGTGGCAAATAGCCAGGAAAGTAGTTGTTTTCTGTTGAATATTCAGAATGATGTGTGTATATACATATTTTTGTCTGAAGGAGAATGCAAATTCTCAATTTCAGGAATTTTTATATTTTATTTTCTCTTATCGTGTGTGTTCAATAGATATAATTCAATGTTCGTCGTGGCATATAGCCAGGAAAGTAGTTGTTTTCTATTGAATTAACTGAAAAAGAGTAAATATTCTCATCACATAGAGAATGCGAATTCTCAATGTATTGCTTTATATAAATATATTATATCCATTTTTGTATGTTCATAATTTATCTGAGAATATTCCTTTTTAACTTCTGTCGTTATTTGATCTGTAGTTATTGATCGATTATGTATATATTATATATATCTTTATAACCCTGTTGAATATATTGTTTATAATAGAGATACATACAATAGAACATATATGATTGCACAATTATTATTCTCCTTCATAAAAAAAATAATATTATTATTTTCATTTGAATTGATTTTGAATCTTCCTGCTTCTTTTATATTTTTCAACTCATTAGGTAAGGAGTTATACAGAGAAGTGCACAAAAAACGGCCAGGACTGTAACTTTTGAATATTTCGAGATAGGGTTCTGAAAATTGGTGGGTAGCAAGTATACCAAATTGCTCATTAATTGATGAAACAATTTTTCTTCTATCACTTTCAGTTTCGCCGGAAACGAACCGAAATTTTGATTTTAAATGGTACACCCTAATCGGTTAGGGATTATCATGAAGAATTCAAGGAACGGGTTATTTCAAACGATTACAAAGATATTTGCGTTCGAAGTTTCCATATGCGATCTGGCTCTATTTTATAGATATTTTCATGGACGATGCTCTTCTGAAATTGCAACAATTGTTCCTCCCTTGGCAGTCTCCGCGAGATCTGCGTAATCGTTTGAAATAACCCTATCAAACCCGGTATAGATGAATTCGTTATTACAATCCCTAACCGATTATGCAATACAATACAGGGTGTCCCATTCAAAAATCAAAAGTTGGGGTCGTTTCCAGTAAAACCGGCAGTGCTAGAACAAAAATGAATTCGTCAATTAATGAGCTATTCGGTATACTAGCTGCCTACTTTCAAAACCCTATGTCGAATAATTCTTGAACTTTATCGATGGCCATTCTGTACAGCGTGGACATAAATTTGAGGAGTTCTGAACTTATTTCATGAAAATTCATCTGAAGGAAACTTCCCCATTGGTCGAATATTATTTTAATTTCGAAATCTGATAATTTTAGAATGTTCAAGTTCAAACCAATGAAGAAAGTCCCTTTGCCAACATTATATTGTTTCACTATTCACCAAGCAAATTTTGTATCGTCTTGACAACCTATTCTAATGGGTGTCTTAGTTTGACCTATCCTTGTCACAAATGATTTCTCAAATTCTTTATTTTTCAAGTGGATCTACTTTGCCTTTTGACTTACCTTCTCTCAATAAATACAAGCTAGTTCTGATTTGTTTCTCTAGTTTCAGAAATGTTGAAGAGGAACAGAAGAATAATCAAGTTGATATTGATTTCTCTCTGTAAATATCTGTGTTAGTAATTTAATGTGAAATAACAGTTTATTATACATCATGATGTATTTTAAAATGGATCGTTTTTATTTATATGCCCTTTGATAAATACGGCAATAATAAAAATGTATAGGTACATATGTTTTATTTGTAGATATAGTTAAGTGCCTTTTTATAAATTAAATAAATATATCTTGACCACGAGATAGTTGTGTCTTGATTGTTGACCAAATGAGAAAGCCTTGATAGTTGTGGTGCTTCAAAGAGAGAAGATAAATCTAAGAATTATCTGAACAAATAATTATTATATGTTATCAATTATGGGAAAATTGTATCGTTGATATTATTGTAATGTACTGTAAAAATAAATCTTCACACATCTTTTTCACTTGTTTTTTTTTTCAATGTTTATTTGCTATGTTGAACCGTAGTTGCAAGATACTTATGTTTGATGAATTTCCTTCAATTTTATAACTGGTCGTTCTAATTTTCGCGCTAAAATCGTCAATGTTCTAATTCAGTTTATTGAGGTCCAACCAAATACCTCCCTCGGTCGTGGGAATGAATGATGTTGGGGACAGTTTCAGTGGATTAGACGTTTTTTTGTTCAAGCTGACACGGAAATTCTTCAGAACGCTCAAAAGTCCCACTTTGGTTTGCATGATACCAAATCTCATTCCTGTGAACAAATACGATGGTTGTAATAGATATATTCACGTCGCCAGTTAGGAAACGCTTTGTTCCATATAAAATTGCGTTTCCTAACGTATCAGGTACAATATTTTTGTTGAAAGCTAGAGAAGAGAAAAAGAAAATGTCTTTCTCATCTGTCCTTGTCTTCAGTGTTCCAACGTAAAATAATGGAAATTTCATATTGGTAATATTGAAAATGGGAAAAGATAGGGAAGAAGATCATATTGAGCTTAATATAAAAAAGGTTAGAATTGTCTTCTTCTCCATTTCTTCTCATTTCCAGTTTGCCAACATAAAATATTAACTTATTCATGTTGGAGCACTGAAGACAAGAACAATGGGGAGGACATTTTTTTCACCCTCAACGCTATCTGAACTGCTATATTGAAACAAATACAGGGTGGTGTGAGATTCAGAATTTTGATCACCCTGTATCTGTTCCAATAAAATGTCAGTGATATTAAACCAAGTAATTTGGACACAAAAGTTAAAAAATCTCGATTTTGATTTTTTTTATGAACATTTGGTTACTCAAATACACTCAGTTCCAAAAAAAGTGACGCACTTGATATTTGACCTATCTTCTTAAAAAAAAAAACAAAAAATAGTAGGCCGATTTTTTTCATTTGTTGGTAGGTAATGCATTTGTCTTTAAAAAAAAAATAAAGAGGTGCAAATTTTTCAAAGCCTCCTTGATGGTGGTGGAATAACTCGAACCATGATTTATCCTTAATTTTTGACTCACCCTGTGTGTTAATTGAGTAATGGCATAGAAAGTGTTTCCACCCTATACGAAAGAGGCTTCTTTTGTGAGCATTTTGTTTTTTTATTCATTTATTTATCTCTAAAATTTTCCGAATTACAGCTTTTTTTGCTGAATCCTTGCAGATTACCAACTTTCTGAATTAATCGAGATCGAGAAACAATTTCCTTATGAGATAAACTGATACCAATAATTTTAAAAAACATTTTCATTAAACACAAAATTATAAATTGGGATGACTGCTTGATACCGTTGCCTCCTCTAGCAACTTTAAGAACTTCTAATCTACGAGACATACTGGAAATTGAGTTGCTTATCGTTTCCATTGGAATACGATCCCATTCTTCCACTACTGCATCTGCCATTTCTGCGAGACTTTCCGGAGACCTCTCGCGAGAACGTACCCTTCTCCCTAATTCATCCCACAAATATTCTATAGGATTCATATCGGGACTTCTCGCAGGCCATTGTATTGTGGTAATACCAGTAGCTTCTAAGAAGATTCGCGCTATTGCTGCGGTGTGTGGTCGGGCATGATCCTGCATAAATATAAAATGATTGCCCACTAACTCTGCATAAGGTAAGACATACTGCTCTAAAATATCAATGTAAATTCGGGCATTCATCGACTGCCTCACCGGAAAAACATGAAGGGGCGTCTTTCCATTCATTGAAATCCCTCCCCACACCATAACGGACCCACCATTAAAACTTTCGCATTCTTTTATTCAATTTTGATTAAACCGTTCAACCGTTCTCGCGATCATCTCTTAGAGAAGTTTTTCGGGGGCGACCAGAACCGACCCTCCGAGCGGTGCTTCCTGTTTCCTGTTCGTACTTGCGGATTTCTCTACGAGCAGTTGCTTCATAAACTCCCACTGCATGAGCGGCGTAACGTTTACTACGCCCATCGTTTACTAACGCAACTAATTTTCCTACTTGTTCAGGATTTATTTGAGGCATTTTATGTAATTTTAGTCAATAATACTAGACACTTAATTAATGACAACGACAAATGATCAAATATGGAGGCATACAACAAATTAGTTGCTATGGCAACGGCATTTGTTTTTTTAAAGACAATGTGATCCTACCAGAGTTCGACCCAATCAATTTTGAGTACTCTGATCTCTCAATAAATTTAATTTGTGGGATAAGCGTAAAATATCAGCAAAATAGCTGTAATTCGGAAAATGTTGGGGATAAATCAATGAATTAAAAAAGAAAATGCTCGCAAAAGAAGCCTCTTTCGTATTGGGTGTAAGCACTTCGTATACCATTACTCAATTAACACACAGGGTGAGTCAAAGATTATGAATAAATCATGGTTCGAATTATTTCACCACCATCAAGGAGGCTTTGAAGAAATTTTCACCTCTTTTTTTTTTTCAAAGACATGCATTATCAAATAAAAACAATAAAAATCGGCCTACTATTTTTTAAGAAGATAGGTCAAATATTAAGTGCGTCACTTTTTTTGGAACTGAGTGTATTTGAGTAACCAAATTTTCATAAAAAAAATCTTACATCCTGTTTGCAAACGTGACCGTGACCAACCCTGTATAAGATGTATTGAAACGTCTGGAAGTATCTGAGACGTTCTGAAACAGACATCTTCAAGACGATTCCTGGACTTTCGATGCTATTTGAGAGATATTGCTTACCTATACAAATTCTAGGCCCTTCACCGAATGGAATATGAGCATATGGATGCCTCGTTTGCTTGTTTTCATCACTGAATCTTTCTGGATCGAACACCTCGGATGCTTCGTAGTAGTCTTCATCGTAATGAATACCTCTGATCGGGATGAACACCCTTATACCCTTTTTAATAATGAGATCAGAGTTCGGCACTTTGTAATCTTCTACGCATTTTCTGGTCACAAACGGTACTGGAGGATACTTTCTCAAGGTCTCTAGAATAAAATATCCACAAATTGAAAGTTATGGTCGAAAATATCGTGGAGACATTGCGAACTACCGACTTTTAGTAGTTCGACACTGTCAGACAGGAGACATGTAGCAGCCTGTAGTTTTTTTAATTGAAGAGATAAAATTTTGAAATTCACAGATGGTATATAATAAATGGTAGAGCACTTTACGAACTTAACGACAATTTTTTTCAACCACCTGTTTGACCGGAAGTGACCCCAATTTTCTTTTTTCGAATGTCACCCTGTACATTTCTTCAGTCTATCTTTTTCGCCTTGAAATTCTCTATCCAACCATGTATCACAAAGTGGCATTTATTTCTTAATTCGTTGTTGAATTGCTTTTTATTCAAAAAGAATAAGTTGGCTGTAACCTGAATTCGATGATATATCGACACTTGGTAGGCTTTGAAATTTAAATATCATTAATAAACCGATATTATTCAAAATGTTTTGATATTCTGATCAATGTCTGCAGGTTGTCAATAGCTTGTTTTGAGTCGAGATGAAAACCTTCGAAAATAACTCATGATATTGAGGAATCTAAGATAGGAACATATTTTTTCGAATTCAGCTACTCGTACAGAAACTATCTGTCTTTTATTTTCGCCATGTACCTATCACATGATCTTCCAATTTGGAATAATGAAACTAAAATTGTTCCTCTTATACGATGATCCACAGGGCTATCAGTCTATTTTTTCATAATTATTTCACTTAGTAGGCGGTGTACCTACACAAAATGTTTTATGTGTTTGACAGTTAATCGATTGCATCAATAATTTTTCTCCTTCATTTGTGTGTTGATTAAAATTACATATTATCAATAGAGACGGAAAATGTTTTCAAGAAACGAAAAAGTCGGACTAGGCCGGAAAAATGCTACTTTCTCAATGAAAAAGCGTTCGGGAAGTGAGTACTTCCCGGACGGTTGCCGAAAAAAGTAATTTATGAAAAGTGACATTTTTTAACCTGTCAACAGATAAATAAATTTCAAACCTTCTTCCCGTCACAGAAAAAATAATTATTTTATGAATAGCATACCTCTCATGAAGCAAGATGAATAGTGAGTGATAAGTTTTTTTTGCATGAAGATGGCCAAGCCATTGACGATCTAAATGGAAACCTAGTAGGCGACCTAGTACGCGAGGAGGATAGCTTCCGCCTACTAGCTACCTAACTAGGTCGTCATTTAGAACGACAATGGTCAAAGGTCAAACAATAACTGTGTCATACTTTTCAGAATAGACCAGAGATTGTTATTATTTTCATTTGTTTTACATGTTGCATCATTAATTCACTCGCTTTCCGGGTATTTGCTCATTAGATACCTAACCGTTTGAGTGAGTTACTTACCATCTATAACTTGACCCATGTATTTGAGTTCGTTAAGTGCGTCATAGTTGATTTGGTTGTCGTGTTTCGCTAGTACAGTTTTGATTTCGTTCCTAACTTTCTCCTGGATATCTGGATTGATAGCCAGTTCGTATAAGGTGAATGTCATAGTAGTAGAACTAGTTTCAAAACCAGCTATGAAGAAAACGAAACTTTGAGCTACTATTTCTTCGAGGGTCAGAGATGTACCGTCACCTGAAAAAGGAATCATTTCTGATACAAAAATTGCTGAATACAGCTGCGTCGTCAATTTGAAAAATGAGTTACTTATTCGAGATTCGTAGGAATGGCACTCGAGTCTAGAAGTTATTAAAAAAAAAAACGACTTGCCATATCGATGTCATGGTCATGACTACTAGATTTTATTAAGAATTGAAGATAAGTGGTTTCATAGTGATTCAGTCCATGACATTACAGTTTCACAGAACTACAATGATGGACTGATAATGAATGAATGAATGAAGATAATCTTCCTTTTCCACTCATAAAGCAACGTTGTCAAGTCCCCAATTATAATCAAATTATCAAGAAGATGTTAGAGTCCTGTCGTTGAAGAAAACATAATAGGATGAACCCATGATATTATCATTCATTCATTCTTTCTTTTTCGAGCAACAAGCATGTCGAAATATTTATTATTCTCCATTACAAAATATGATGTAAATGTTGGAGACTTGGCAACATTCTGCTGAATGATGAGAACTGACAAGACCACACCCACAAGTCGTACGCCGCGGTTGTCACGTTCACTGATTCAAATGTCCTGTAGTGTGAATTAACATAATTATTATTTACACAATTTTGTTAATTTTGTTGTTTTGTTAATAAGAAAGTTGATGTTACTTCCGGTCAGACCGGAAGTTAACTTCGACATGTCAATATGCTCAAATTCTAGCTCTTATGTCATTATATCGACGCTCCAAATTTCACAAACCTACTTCATACAATAACTGAGATATTCCGTAGGCAATACTTCCGTAGCCACCCGGTATATATGAACTGCGTTCAACGTGTTGTGATCGAATGTAGAATGTAATTAAATGTCGAACAAATAGGTATGTAGAAACGTAAAAAAATATTGATTGTGCCGATGTACGTGTTTCTATCGGCCAAAAATCCGTTTTCAATGGAAAATACGTGAATCTATGTAAAAATAAACAATATCAATAAATCAGTAGCAGATACTCACCGCTCTGTTCTTCATCATTTTTGATATCGATGCACATCTGCAGAAAATCATGCCGCACCACATTATTCCTCTCCCGATACTTGATGGTGTCGTCCACGACTTTGGTGAAAAATTGCTCTATGTCTTTGGAAAGGATGCGCATCCCCAAGAATCTTGCTACATCAGGAAACTGATTGGCGAAGGTGAGTTTCATGACGAGAAATTTGTTCAGGTTGAAAACTCTGTCGCCAAATTGTCTAAAAGGGGTGTCTGGTTCCTTGAAGGTGTTACATTCCAAGCCGAACGCGCAAGAGCCGATGATATCGGTGGAATAACATGCTGAATCAGAAGAATGTAGTATCAAAATTTGCTGAATATTTCGTTACAGGAAATGAACAACATATAGCAGAGAGTGGAATGATATTAAAATCATATAGGTACTATAGGAGAGCTGGCTACCACGAATAAAGGCTCCTGAGAAGAATACCTATGACCATCAGGGTGTTTCATTGGGAAAGGTAAATAATTCAACTGTGGATAGGAGTCACTGAAGTGATTTAAAAAAACCCATGGTTGATGGGTCTTCGACTTGTTATAACCGAGATACAGGATGTTTCATCAATTTTGGCCATATCTTCATTGTCTCATAACTTTCCAACCAACCTGTATATATTTTTAAAAATTGGTACACTTGCTCAATCTACCCTGTGGATTTGATTGAGGCAACAATAAAAGATAAAATCCAGGTCCGGCTTCACTTAAAATTCACAAATTCTTTCTGCCAGAAAACAACACCCTATACCTTCGAATTTCTCTTTTTTTTTGCCATATCCGAAAAGAACATCAAAATTTCTATTCAACGATGGGGTTTTTTATTCGTGCACAGACGATTTTAACTATTCATATTATTTGCTCAAAATATTATTTTTGCTCATTTTGGGGTACAAAATTGGAATCAGGCGAGACTTATTAATTTTATTACTTCCTATTCAGTATACGTGAGTATTACATTTAGAAGGAGTATTTCATATCGTTCTTTGTTCCAGACTTAGTTGCAGGTCCGTCATCAAAACTATACAGGGCTTTTCACGATAAGCGTTAATTAGATGTTTCTGGCAAACCAGGCAACAGATAAATCTAAAAATCCGAAGGTATGTATGAATTAATATGATCTACTCGTCTGAAATATTTGAAACAATCCGGTGTTGCCGCTTCTACTCGAAAGTAGCAGTAACTTTGATTTTCAAATGGGACACCCTGGATGCTTCCTGAAGAGCTGATTTAATCGATTCACAAAGTTCGGGGTCTAGTGGGACACTGATAACTGAGATATTCAGAGTGAGAAAAATCGAGATGTTTCAACTTTGGAATTATTTTGCGAAAATATTTATTATTGATCAAAACGGCTTTTATGTCCCTATCTTAACTTTGTATCTATTGACATTTAATCGAAACAAATACAGGATGGTTCATAATTCAGATTTCTGCACCACCCTGCATCGGTTTCAATTGAATATCGAATGGAAAGTTGAGATAGGGACATTGAAGCCGTTTTGACCATGCAATAATAAATAGTTTCAACACAAAACATTTCTAAAGTTGAAACATCTCGATTTTCCACATCCTATATCTCAGTTATCAGTCCCGCTAGACCTTGAATGTTTTGAATCGATGAATTCTGCTGTTCAGCAAGAATCCAAGAATGTAATGAAATACAGGGTGTCCCATTTGAAAAATCGAAGTTGCTGCTACTTTCTAGTAGAAGCAGCAAGGCCGGATCGTTTCAAATATTTCAGTAGTGTAGATTATGTTAATTTATACATACCATCGAAATATCAGATTTATCCGTTGCCTGGTTTGCCGAAAACGTCAAATTAACGCTCATCGTGAAAAGCCCTGTATAGTTTTGATGACGGACCTGCAACTAAGTCTGGAACAAAGAACGATATGAAATACTCCTTCTAAATGTAATACACACGTATACTGAATAGGAAAGAGATAAAATTAATAAATCTCGTCCGATTTCAATTTTGTAGCCCAAAATAAGCAAAAATAATATTTTGAGCACATAATATGAATAGTTAAAATCGTCTGTGCACGAATGAAAAGCACATCGTTGAATAGAAATTTTGATGTTCTTCTCAGATATGGCAAAAAAAATGAGAAATTCGAATGTATAGGGTGTTGTTTTCTGGCAGAAAGAATTTGTGAATCTTAAGTGAAGCCGGACCTGGATTTTATCTTTTGTTGTTTCCTCAATCAATTCCACAGGGTAGATTGAGCAAGTGTACCAATTTTCAAAAATATATACAGGTTGGTTGGAAAGTTATGAGACAATGAAGATATGGACAAAATTGATGAAACATCCAGTATCTCGGTTATAAGAAGTTGAAGACCCATTAACCATGGGTTTTTTTAAATCACTTCAGTGACCCCTATCCACAGTTGAATTATTTACCTTTCCCAATGAAACACCCTGTATATATATATATAGGGTGAATCATGCGATTTGGCAAAAACATCTTTTGTTCATAACTTTTCAACAGCTCCTTAGATTCGTCTGATTTTTCCATGGAATATTTCTCTACTAAATCCTAATCGACTGACTTATTCAGAATAGGAAAAATCCAGAATGGTTCTTGAAAAATTTCGATAGTTAACGAGTTGAAACGAAAAGCAAATAAGCATATGAAAGGGGATAATGCCCCCCAAACGTGCCGCAATTCAAACTGACCTGAGTTAGTGACAGAGCGTCCATATTTCCGAGAATATTTCAATCCTCTCTAAAGATAATATACGATGAACCAGTGTAAAATTCAACATGTAGATTTGAATACTTGTAGTGCGAGCACCACACACTGGTCCATCGGATATTATCTTTCCACAGAGGTGAATCGCGGCCCGTTTGGATATTCGCATAGGGGACATTTCTTCAAAGATATTTCGGGAAGAGTTCAGAATTTTCACATTGTGAAAACTCGGAAACATCTGGCGCATGATTTATTATAATAATCTACCGTACTATCGGAAAACATCACAATTATTCCTCATATTGCATAGTTGTACTACTGGTATACAGTAGGTAGGATTTTACGCATTTCTTACCTAACACACTCTTTATATCTAAAGGTTTGTTAGCATCAACTTCATTTCTTATGTAGTTTTCAAGAATGGAACCACATTTTGCAACGGTCTGGAACATGGTTTTCATTTTTCCAGAAGTAAACGTAGGTGAGAATTTTGTCCTCAAGTTTCTCCATTTTACACCACCTATGGAGAAAAGATGGGCACCTAGAAAATGATAAAATTGGAATCATTTGATCATTAAAGATAGAGATATCTTGAACATTGAACTACTTTATCTACATCTAAAAAATACCTATATCCATTATATCTATGTACATTATAATCCCTTACATTTTAATCATATTAAAATCCTTTATTTATTAATGAGTAGATTTATATCAAGCCAGAAAATAAGTATATACAGAGTGTTCGCATAAAATCAGCAACACATGGGATAAAAGTTTATTGTCATAAAGTTGAAAATAAATTCTGGGTGATCGATAATTGTGCATGTCCTCAAACCTCAAAAATGATTTTGCCACATGTCACGTGATCACTGGCATGACGGAAAATTGAGAGAAATCACAGAAAAGAGAGGAGTTATAGATAGCAATATAGCGAAAAAAATAGAAGGTTGAAATCTAATTCAATTATGATTAATGATGGGAACAATGCATCAAGAAATTTCCAAATCACGATTTCCCTTTATATTTCAATCTCAAGAACTGAGATTGAGGAACTCAAAATGAATCTCCACAAAATGTTGAAATAATCAAACGAAACTGGTAGATAACATATGAAATCCATGCGATGATTCTCATGGGTAAATGAATACTGATCGCTATAAATATATTTTCTTATAATGTCGAATTGTTTTTGATTGTATACAGCCAGTGAACACCTAACCACATTTACATATACAGGTGAGAAATGAGAGTGACCAATTACCCAGCGTTATTTAAAATAAAAAAACCAAGAATTCTCACTACACTTAAAAATGTTTTGCTTTTGATGAAAAATATCCTTACTGATGGGTTCAACTTTTTCATTCACGTACACTCCTCTATCGACAAAGTGGTTGAAATCTTTCGACATTATATTCTTGATGATGTCTAGATCCAAAGGCATATACACCGGTGATGTCAGAGCGTATATGCCAAGGTATTTCCATCCTAAAACAAAATTACGTAAAAAAATACTGATATACAGGGTATTGTTATATCGCCAAATATAAATAGGTACTTATATAGGCATTATTCAACTATGTTTTTTACTATTTGTTCAAAGTAACAAAGCCGTATCAAGCAGTGTCATTTGTACACAGTTAGATGGCTATTGCGCCTTGGCTTAGAGATATTTCTGAAAATAATCGCTAGAGGATATTAAAATCCACTATTCACAAACAAAAATACTACTTTGTATTTAAAATTCATCAATGGATGGATTTTTTCTCTTTCCAAACATAAGACCATAGTGTTGATCATGTATTCTAGTTGGAAGGTTAAAAAAATGCACAGCAAATTTTCGGAAAGCTCAGTTATATACCCTTGCAGTCTACCTGCTTGGGAGAAAATCAGAAAAATTCAAATATCTCGAAAATTATCAACTCTTGCAAAAAGCATATTATAGGGTTAAATTCACTCCTTATATACCACCTTCCCTATCACATCTCCAAAGAAATGTATCGAATTACCAGTCACCCTGTATATATAGTGCGTTAAATTGAGAATTTATATCGTCGCAAAAATATATAAGTCGAGAGTAAAAATATACAGTAAGTGCGAATTCAACCAGCAACACCTTCCCAACTCAAAACCCGACGACCGATTTTCGAAAACTAAAATTATACAGGGTGTTTCAAAAAAACCTGACCCCCTACTAGGGTAGGTAGAACACTGCAAAATAAGTTGGGTTCACTCAGTGAAAAAATTGCGTAACGGCATCCGTTATCAAGGCTACAAGGTGTTGAAAAAATGATTTTTTTACACATTTTTCAAGATTCCGTCGAAACTACTGGCAACATTGTAGTGGAATTTTGTATGGATGTTTCTTGGAATCTGACACATCGCATGCATTTGCTTTCATATCTGACTCTCATAGAGGGCGCTAGTTACACGGTTCGTACCGAGTAGTTCTGAACATAACTTTTTGAGGTTAGATTTTTCAATCCAAATTTGATGTGAACTTGAACATCATTCAATTCCACACCAAAAAGGTACGCTTGGTAAAACTCGATACTGTGTTCTGTTTTCGGAATATTTCGATTTGAAAATGATGAAGTGATAACTGTTGCTGGTATAAAGCTTTGTATTAGAGTGAGTATTATGAAAAAAATATCACCTATTTATTGAAAACCGAAAAAAACAATACATTTCTGATGCTGAACTTATTGATTTAACAATGAATCACAAGAATAACATCGAAACAGATTTGACTGAGAACATGGATTACACAGTTGTGTTGTATCTTGAGCAGAAAGGCTATGCTACATAGGTAAATTCACGTCAAGAGTTGTAAGACATAATTGAACGAATATAGAATCGTTTTTTCTTCGAAACGTAGGACATTTTGAACACTTATACTCTAACTGATTCAATATTTCATGTTTCAAGTCAAATATCTCTTAATTTTCTACTTATGATTCTTTGTTCCATCAATAACTTCAGCACAAGAATAATTTTATTGTTTTTGGATCTGAATAAACAGGTAATTGTGAAATCAATAAAATTCATTTTATACCAGCATCAGCTATTACTCCATTATTTTCAAATCGAAATATTCCGAAAACGGAACATAGTATCGAGTTTCACCAAGAGTATCTTTTTAGTGTGAAATTGAATGATGTTCAAGTTCATATTTGGATTGAAAAATATAACCTCAAAAAAGTTATGTTCCAAACTACTCGGTACGAACCCTGTAACTAGCGCCCTCTATGAGAGTCAGATATAAAAATAAATTCATGTGATGTGTCAGGTTACAAGAAACATTCATACAAAATTCCATTATGATGTTGCCAGTAGTTTCGACATGATGGTGGAAAATGTGTAAAAAAAACAATTTTTCAACCTTGTATCATGAAAACAAATGCCGTTACGACATTTTCTCACTGCGACCCCAACTTATTTTGCAGTGTTCTACCTAACCTAGCAAGGGGGTTAGTTTTTTTTAAACACCCTGTGTAGTATATTGATGAATTGCAAAAAAGCTACAGGTTGAAATGTTTTCCCCTAAAAAAAAAAAACTAGATATTCTGGATCAAATCTAATAGGCCCGCCCTCCTAGGCTTTTTTCTGTGAAACACTCTCTATATTCAGTTATTTGTTTACCAAAATAAAGACTAGTCAGGACTAGTTGATATCGATCATGAAATGAAAATTGTTTTTGTCTTCTTTCCATTATAACAGAAACATTATCTTCTATGATTGAATCTAAATTATAAGAAAATCACAATTACAAACCCTTATCTTTAGCTCGCTTGTAGATATTTGCCACATCTTCACCGAAGCTTATCGTCCTTTTATGTGGTGGTAAAATATTTCCCCACAAAAATGCCGGTGGTAAGTATGGTACATTCCTCTTTTCCCAGTATTGATAGCTCCATTTGATCCAAACGTAAGCTACTGCCAACAGAGCTACTACTATTCCTAGTAAGTCCACTACTAGTCGATCAGCAAGTATTCCCATGGTAAGCAAACTGGCCGATTGAATAGTAGTTTACCTAAGTGTGGAAAAGTCACTTTACGCACGTGTTAGGAACACTAATCTTTTCTACTATATAAAGTGCGGATAAGCCCAAAAGTTAACACTTAAATAGCTATTTTTGTATCTAGAGCGCGAAATGCTACTTTGGTGATCAAGATCTAATTTTTTTAACGAGGCGTAACCCTGTTTAAAGAATAGTCGAGATAACCAAAGTATTTCGCGCTCGAGTTGCGAACAACATTTTTTCTACAAACGTCAAAAACTATTGATCTAAAGTAAAAATATGCTTAGAATGATATTAAAAATAGTGTTGAAAATTAGCATAAAAGGCCTCCCCCTATCATACCTAGGTACGCACGATGTTCCACGAACAGAATAGGAATTACCTTTCGTGCGCTGCAATAGATGAAACAAAGTTATTGTTGAACATTCAGAAATAAATGATTTCGTGGATGGATATCTCATATTATATTTTACATAACAATGCGCGAAGTAGGTACTTCACAAATTTCATATTTTGCTTCCACCGTTTGATTCCTTCTTGGATTGGTCCATTATCCTTATTCATTACTCTATTACTACTCTTAAATATCTCTAAGCTTACATATGCATCTAATTTCCTATCATTATCAACTGACTTAACTAATTTGAGGTTATCAATATGTGTGTTATGATTGTGATTGAACATGTGTTCAGCTACACACGATTTACCCATCCTACCATAATTCAAATGTACTAAGTGTTCTTTGAAACTTGTTTTTATGGGACGCCTGGTTTGGCCTATATATGTTTTATCAGAATCATTACAACTAATTTCAAGTGTGTCCGCCTTATCTTTCGGAATACCTAATAAATTGCCTAACTTGGACCCAGACTCATAAACGCTTTCAAAACCTATGTCTTTGAAAACTTTACCAAGGCCTTTTGTGTATTTGGGATTGAACGGGATAGGGATTTTTTTCGGATTGTTTTTATCCGTTTGAAAAGTCGTACTTATTTCAACATCGAATCTTTGTTTGCTCAGAGGAAATGAAACTAGTATACGTACTAGGAAATTCAAACTTTCTCAAATTCTAAATTGTTTTTGCCATTTTTGATGACAAGAACATCTAACAATGGTAATTGCCCGTTATTTTCGCATTCAAAAGTGACTTTGATAGAGGGGAAGAAATTATTCAATTGTGAAATAAAGTTATCTATATCTGTGATTTTCGTATCAAAAATGGGAAAAATATCGTCGACTCGAATTTTTCTTTTGCATTCGTTCAAAACCGATTCATGAACAGTAAAGCCAGATTCAAACCTTTGACCTTTTCAATGAATTCAAGCGAATTTGACACAGAATGATTGTTGTAAGGATTATTTTAGTTTTGAAAACTTCAACCAACCACTTTTAAATATTGTAAGTAGGAGACCCAATCGCGGATACAATCGGTTTGATTTTTTCACCGGGTTTGTGTATTTTTGGTAAACTATATAATCTTGGTACACTTGAGTTATATATTATATATTTTTGATTCATATTTGTTTTGTGATGTAATAAGATTTGGACATTTATTCAAATTTGATTTGACCCGAATCAACTGTGAATAAACCTAATGTTTTCTCAATTCAGAATTTCTTTCCACGTCCTGTATGATGAATATCAATTTCTCATACATCCAAAAGACACATACAATCACATATAATCTATGATGAGAATAAATGTGTATACTGCATACGTATCTCAGCAATATTGTTTGTAGTTAGGTCATCCTATTCTCCATTTTCAATTAAGTTTCAGAGAAAATGCAACAGTGCAATTCAATTGTGGTGATATTTGGTAACATTAAATGTTCAGCGGGCTGAGTGCATTATTGAAATTTTCCTCTGAGAGAGGGACATTCACAGTATCTGTATCATAATTATAATCTGTCATGGAAGCTGCCTATGGATTTCCAAACCGAGTAAATACAGCTTCGACGAATCTATCAATATGGAATATTAATACTCTGGCATTAGAAATGTGTTTACCCAATAACGATTGATATAGGTATAGCTATTTTTTCAACACTTCGTATATTGGGAATCAGTTCATATAGACGAAATGAAAAAGCATTCACTGACTGTCTGATATGTGGGATCTCGCTTGTGATTTTAACCTACTAATTCAAAACCTGTAGAAAGATTTTCGAAATCAAAAATTCTATAATATGGAAATCAACGAGCTCTATTCGAAAATGTGGACAAATCTGGAATATCCAGATTTTCAAGGCCTACATTTGTTTGTTGAAGGGGTCAAAAACGACTATTAGGCAATTTTGTTTCGAAACAGTGACTAACCTTTTTTTTATCGCTTGGAAAGTGAGATAACGGCTTCGCTGTTTGAGATAGATGAACAAAAATGTTAGTGATGGTCTAGGCTCATGAGCATCACATTTCCAAAATATCTTGCGTTACACAGGGTGACTCAAAAATGCGTGACGTATCAAAGTTATACTTTTTCTTATGGGACACCCTGTATTTCATTGCATTTTCAGATTCTCCATTGTGAGCTGATTTCATCAATGCATCACACTTGGAGTCTAGCGAGAATGATTACAGAGATCTATACAGGTGAAAAAGGAGGTGAAATTTCTAACTTCATAGTAAAATATCTTAATAAATAATGGTTTGTTCACATTCTCATTATCAAATTCGTGTTTTTCAGACAAAAAAGTACCAAAAAAAATGTTCGGAAAAAAACCAATCGCATGATAAATGCAGTTTTACTGTGAACTTTTATAAGTAACATTTATTTTGACCCTAACCCCGAATCATGCTCACATGCACACATCATGAACCTAACAAAACTATTGGTATAATATCAAGAATTTGAGTATTACGCATAAGTATACAAGCATATTATATAGGTAGGTAAGGTATGTAGAGTACTCACAGCCAATAATAACCGAAACATACAGTAAATAATTTGAAATTTTTAATTTCACGTATAGGTACTCACATTGTCGTAATCTTAATGAAAATTACTGATAGATAAAATATAAAGTACTTCAAACAAGATTAAACTATACAAAACCACAGATACAAAATATTAAAACGAGGAACTGGCATCGTATGACGAACAAAGTGAACTACCTTGACCGTCGTTCCTTCAATTCGAGGTTGATACAGTTATTATCATTGTATAATATGCTACGTTCCCTGCTCATCATGTTGCATCAATAATAATTTGATTTTAACTGTTTTAGCAGTGTTTTCTCAGTATAGTAGAATTATCACTTATCAGACGTTGAAATGCTATAAATAGGCTCGATTCTGATATTTAAATACACTTGGTGAAAATTATACAGGGTGTCAATTTGAAAACTTCCCACCCTCAATATCTCCCTCCAAGTCGATAATATGGAAAAACGAAAAGACAGGTCGATTTTATTTTCGAGGGGGACATGGTTCTAAAATATTTTCAGCCCCGCGGCGTTGCCGCTTCTAACGAAAAGAAGCAACAACTTTGTTATTTCAAATGGAACACCCTGTATTTCATTGCATTTTTAGATTCTCCCTGAAAAGCTGATTTCATCAATGTATCACACTTGGGGTCTAGCTGTAATGGTTTCAGGGATATAAAGTGTTCAAAATCGAGATTTTTCAACTTTAACATTTTTTTGTGTCGAAACTATTCATTATTGGTCAAAACGGCTTTTATGTCCCTATCTCAACTTTTGATTTACTATCTACTGACATTTATTTGAAACAAATACAGGGTGGTTCAAGATTCAGACTTTTGATCACCCTGTATTTGTTTCAAATAAATGTCAGTAGATAGTAAATCAAAAGTTGAGATAGGGACATGAAAGCCGTTTTGACCAATAATGAATAGTTTCGACTCAAAAAAATCCTAAAGTTGTAAAATCTCGATTTTGAACACCCTATATCTCTGTAATCATTCCTGCTAGACCCCAAGTGAGATACATTGATGAAATCAGCTTTTCAGGGAGAATCTAAAAATGCAATAAAATACAGGGTGTTCCATTTGAAATAACAAAGTTGTTGCTTCTTTTCGTTAGAAGCGGCAACGCCGCGGGGCTGAAAATATTTTAGAACCATGTCCCCCTCGAAAATAAAATCGACCTGTCTTTTCGTTTTTCCATATTATCGACTTGGAGGGAGATATTAAGGGTGGGAAGTTTTCAAATTGACACCCTGTATAAAAAAAGAAAAAGATCACAGAAGGATTGAATAATATTTATAGGGTGTACCATTTGAGACAATAGTTCCCATTCTCAGATTATACTTAACCAATTGAAGCTATTGTGTGATATTGTTTATAAGCAATATGGATGGAACCGCACAACTCTTTCATTTATATTTTTATAGTTGTTTTATTAACATGGATTGGAAATATACGTGCTTCCGATGATGACATTTTAGTAGGGGGCCGGCTGCAAATTCCGATCGTAATCTGAATATGAATAGTTATACATATGTTCCAACGGCATGTAAAAACATTGTATTTTATTGAACGGCACCTGTGCCAATCACTATCCTGAGAGTAATGATTGAAAAATTGCACTTTCCTGTGCGGTAATTTGCATTCAATTTGGCACTTTGATAACGAGATGAGAGTTATGCCATCCGATACCAATTGAATGGTAGATCTCTCTGTTACAATATCCGAAGGACCAATGTGTTGAGTATAACACTGGTCCATCGGATATAATATTACATCGGTTTGAATCGCGGAACGTTTGGATACGAAAGGGACATTATCGCCTTTTATTTGCTTTTTATTTCAATTCGAAAGTATGTCTGGAATAATGCCAGGAAATGAAACGCTGTGCCATGGATTTGACTTAGATCAAGGTATGGCACAGCCACAAGTAGGTTTTTGAGATCTACTCGCTGAAATTGAGTCCAAATTAACGCACAAAAAAGTGCAATTTTTAATCATTTTGCTCAGGATAGTGATTGGCACAGGTGCCATTCGATAAAATACTGTTTTTCATGCCTTCAGGACATAATACCATTTCGATACCAGATACACTGTGAACAATGTTCACGTGTAATTTCAATCGAGTGGATTTCAATAACTACGATTGAATCATCCACGCCTTATTAGCAATATCATATCAATATTATTAAAAATTTGATGAAACGGTGTACAGTGGTGTCAGTTCACACCATCATAGTGAAAAATCACTCGGATGTGGTAATTTAAAGGGGTTCTGAAATATGCTTTCGAAAGAAACACCAAAAGGATGAAAAGTAATTACTTTCGATAGTGGTATTATTCAATTCAATTTATTGTGTAGGTATATCATCATACACGATATCTTGTATCCAGATTGATAGATGACAATAAGAACGGATGACTTCGTGAAAATAATGCATTAAATAAATTTTAAGTTGATTCATAAATTATATATGAAGATTTTGAGATTGCGAATTTATATAGAGTACTTATATGAAACTATATTGAATCATAAAATTGAATATCAAAGTATAAATTTTGTGCACAGAAAAACATTGAGTCAATATCTTTATAGATGGCGACACTAGCACTCCTTCGACGCTCGTCTCTCGACAGCGTTCAAATAGTAACAGCTCAGAGATGTTTCGTAATGTCTCAACTCTCACTACAATGGATCATTTACTAATGTTAGTATACATATTTGATGAGTCGTGTCATTCAACACTCAGATGCAGACAAGAAAGCACCGCTTCTCAGCCTGATAACACTCAATAGGTGTGTTTTCACAACAGATAAATATCCGAAAAATGATCGCATTATTAGTAAAATCAAAAATGCAACATATACAGTGTCAAAATAATTATCGAAAGATTGTATAGTACACCGCACTTTGGTGTTGAATAACACGAACCGATCAAATTAGCACTAGGTACTCTAGTGTAGTTCTTGACTGTATGTAAGAACGAATGATACCCTATATGATGGTTTTAAAAATATCAGTGTTAATCCTCACTAAAATAATCAGGACCTCAGCCGATACCCAAGGGTGTTAGCTGGTGTGAACTGGTGTTATTTTTTGCACTGTGTACGGGACGAAATTTGCGGCCGACTCTTGGACTATTTTTCATTATTTTTGCCCAAGGTGGTTCCTTGGCCATTGATATCAGATGATTAGTGAGCCGTGCAAATTTGATTCAATGAAAAGATGTCATCTCGACTTTGACAAATCAGTCAGATAAGATCTTAGATATAAGATGGACGGAGAGAAAGAAGAGAAAAAGCATAGTAAACTAGTAGCGACCGACAAAAAACCCAAAAAATCTACTGGGCTGCCCACGAGAGGCTATTACGCCGAACTATTGACAGATTTGAATTATACCAACAAATCGAAAAATGACCTGCACGGAGTGTTCAAGAAAACTAAATTGATATGGCAGATGAAAACGGAAAAACACAGTCCGATCATCAGACAACTAGATCCACCAACAAGGAAAACTAATTTGGCTCCAGCAGAAAGATGGATGACCTTCGATGAAGATAAACATATCGCAAGTATCAATCACAATCTGAAACGTCAAAACTCCGAATATACACACAAAGAGAAGTTGAGAGATCTATAACTCTTCATCATCGATAAGAACTTCTCGATTTCAGTCATATTCTGTTACTCGATATTTCATGTTATTGAATACAGGATATTACTAGAATCAGAACTCAAATTCGAACGATATAAATATTTCATGTACCCATATTGTTGATTGATATTTTTTCAGAGTTTTCCTGTGGATACTTTCAAGCCAAAAGTTCAACTACAACATGAAGTAGAGCCGAAAACTCTACCAAGAAATGTAGCAATTGAACGTAGACGAAGAGAATATCAGGTATACATAGTTAGATCAAAAAATAATCTCTGGACTGAATAAATACTCAAAAGCAATGTTTCGGTTGCCTCAGGCTCATTATAAAAAACATTGAATTTTCAGAGCCAAAATCTAGTAGATGTTTTGAATAAGAAAGGAATAACTGTTAAGGATCTGCTGCCAATAGATATTCTGAAAGATATTGTGATTTCAAGAAATAATAGCATTAGCAGTTGGACCAGTTTCTTGCCGTTGGAATTATTCGATGATGAAGATTATGATATCAGGTAGGTTAGTGTTATACTAAGGATACTGGCGGAATTTCCACCCCAAAGACACTTATTATTTCGGCATGAAGCATGTGTGAGTCACTAATAGTATATTATGTAACCAGTTCAACTGCTAGATCTCATAACTAAGAGATCCAGGATGAACAGAGTTGACCCAATTGTCAGTAGGAGCGAGACAGTACTGTTTCGACCCACCAGGTCTCATCAGCCGCTCTCGGTCTGCTGACAACTGCGCTATACGCTTCGGGTATATCACCCATTTCGAAGACGCAGGGTATAACATGGAGTTCTAGTCATGTTGTAGCCATCTAGTGGCAAAGCTCTAAGGTAGGCTCAAGAGATCGCGACACACACTGTATGGCGATGCCATCTATAGTCACACGTACAGACCCTTACGTCTATACGCAACAGAGTGGTACTACAAGTAAACCACTCTGACAGATGGCACTACCTGACATATACTTGAGTAGATTTTTCCACCGACCTATTCAACTGCTAGATCTTATAACTATAAGAGATTCAGGATGAACAGAGTTGCCCCAATTGTCAGCACGAGCGAGACAGCTCCGCTTCTGCTGCGCCATACAGTGTGTGTCGCGATCTCTTGATCCTACCTTAGAGCTTTGCCACTAGATGGCTACAACATGACTAGAACGTCATGTTATACCCTGCGTTATGTAACCAGTGTTATAAACGTCTTTTTAGTAACGAGTGTTTAATCAACGAGTGTCTAGAAGAGTTAATAAACGCGTTACATACTATCCCTTGGCTGATGAGTTATGAGAGTTAATTCCTTGTAAAGTTAACAGAGAGCTTGCTGCATTATGTTCTTAGACACACGGTTACTACGAGGAATCAGAAATGTAAGTGTTCATATCGATCATCCTGCACCTTGTTCTTTCTCAGAACGCCTGACAACTGGCTGGAACACGGCGTGATCGACAACGTCAGGCATCCCCTCCCCGGGCTCGCGTTCGTTCCCCACTCCGCCGACGCGGTGATCGTTGCGAGCCAATCGAACGTCTCCGATCCGTACACGTGGACGAACGTTGCAGTAACGGACTATGATGCGACAGCCAAATCGTGGTCGGTTCTCACGCTGGATGGACAGCAGAGGACGTTTTCGTTGCCCAGGTTGTTCGTTATGTTTTTGGCGGAGGATCCTGTCAATTTCGCTGAGAGGATAAAGGCCGCTCTAGAGCTCAGACACGAGACTGAGAACGTTATAAGGTATCGAAATAATATGTATTCCAGGTACAAGTTAGAGTCGGTAGATCCATACTTTCAGAGTATAAGTTTTTTAGAGAACATTGAACTTTTATTAGAAAGGATATTACTTGTATGTTATTTTGACCCAACATTTTCCTGAGGTATGAATTCTTCATGGACTGTCTGTCATTAGACGGTACACCGAATATGGATGAAAATATACGGAAGAAGATATTGAAACTTTCAATCGGCACTAGCAAGGGAAAGAAAGCCATGTTTTCGGAATACTTCCAAAAAGCATGTTGCCCAAATATTACCCCCATGATCGTAATAATAGTTTTGTTTGTAGTTGATCGCAGAGATTGAGCTCAACCACCGTAGGAAAATTTCAGAATTGGAGCTGAGATTCCATCTCAAAAGCCAACATGATTTCAATTATTTCAAACCTCCGAAAATGGATGTTCCTAAGGAGCGAGGTGAAAAATAACCATACAAATTCTGTATACTTACCAGCTCATAAGTAATTGATATTTTTCAACAGAAAAAATCACTACGAAAATGGAGAATTTCCAGGAAATAAAGAAATACTTCAGGTGGTACAATATCTATGTCGTACCTGAAACTTATCTTGCCATGTCTTACGTAGTAGGAGAGTGCCTCAAAGTAGCACAGATGTCGCTGTTCACTTCTAATTATGGCACAAAGTACGCAACGTTAGAAGAATTTGAGTCTGCTCAGACACAAACTACCAGTATCGTAAGTTGAACAATATATATTTCACTATTTTTCATGACCTGTCAGTATAAAAAGTTTATTTCATTTTGTGAATGTATAATTCGAGGTTATGAAACAATTGAGAGGACCCTGGTTGGAAACTCTCGTCTTCAATATCAGAATGTGCATCGGAGATCTTGGTAAAGGATGGTTCGACATCAACGAATCAAAATTTGACACTTACCTGATATCAAAGCTAATCAGGTTCATGGAACTAGTGAAATTTAGAATGCAGGTATGGATCCAATTGAATAAACCACATATGTATCACATTGACGTCGTAGTAACGTTCTAGTTTGGTCATACAATTGACATTATGGCCTTCACCATTATATTTTCTTAAGACGTCTCGAAATATGACTAATTACAGTCGGGAAAGTGATGGACAAAATGGCTCTAATTCTTCATTTGGTTAACCTGTGATCTGTGATTACATTACGAGACCAAGTTCTTTTTCAGTATACGTTACGGTTGTTGGTAGAGAATTCCCTCCAAACTTTCATCAACCTAGTAGAGACACCATGCCTGCCTTGCTTAAGCGTGCCAGACGACTACGTTTGGGGGCCCGATCTAACATTAAGCACTTTCTTGTCAAGAGCACCGCCGCTTTTCAGCCTTCAACTCAAAATGAATGAAAATGGAGCATTTTATTCAACTCCACCGGAGTCCTTTGGGGTAAGTTAGTCACTTAAGTCACTGACAATGATAGGCCAATGATTGGACCAGTACATTAGATCAAGGTTGTGAGATTTCAATACTTTTTTCAGAAAGTTCTTCTGAAACTGTTCGACGATGGCCTGAAGCAGACTCACCAGATCAAGCAAGTCCATCCGTTCCTGCTCAGCAAGCTACGGTTTCCTAAGGACCTCAATCTATCCTCTGTCGGTCTGTTGTCTGAAGAAGTTTGCGAGATCAGAGAGCGCTTCCTGATAGCGTACGAAAAATCGCTGATACCGCTGTTGGCCTACGCGGAGGAGTTCAAAGTTCACATCGAACTCTACACTATGGACATCGGCCAGTTCATAACGTGAGTTTCCATAACAGTGAGTGATAGAAGGTGTGATTGCTGCGCAGGTAGGTATGGCTCAGCTGTCTCTAGTGCTTGTGATACGAAACATGAAAGTCTCGCATATAAACGATACAAATGACATCATGCATAGATGAAATGGTTTTATCCATCTTTTGGAGCGATCGAAAGGAAAATTTTAGGATGTTCGAAGAACATCGTGCGTACCCAGGTTCTTATTATAGAAGATAATTTGTTGTTTTCAGCTATGAGGACTGAAAGTTATTCGAAATATTTCGGCGCTATGTGGCTAGCCATTTTCATAACATACTAACACGTATTTGACGGTATCTGCTTCACACTTAGTTTCCTATCGGCCTGTCTTGGTCAATTCTTCTTCATTCCTTTTCCTTCAAAGTCCAACCTCACCATGTCGAGGGGAGGACAAGCCGCGGCTGCTCTGCAGATGGAGCATTTTGTGGACATCTCTTTCCTGATCACTCAGACGGGTCTTATGTTGATCTGAGCTCGGACTAGATAGTTTTCTGAATATCTGTGTGCAAAGATGGGGCAATTTGTGAACATCTGCCCATGTGGACACGGATTGATGAACGATACTCTGGGAACCTAATCCATGCTTGCTGAATACTTTCAATATGCCTAACGCCACAGCTAGAAGCCAGGTAGCCGTGCGGACAGACTGTCAGTATTCTAATCCGCATTCGTTTGCCGGTCGTGGGTTCAATTTCCGCAACTGCAGAAATTTTTCTGATGGCCCAAGAAAGTGTTTGGGATCACACGTTAAAAGGTAAGGCCCCCGTCATTCCTTGCTCGCACAAGACTCTCGAAGACTTCTGAGGGTTGCTCGTAAGGGGGCAACCGAATGACGGATAGTACAATTTTAGAACAATTTTTTAGAACAGCTAGAGATTCCCCATGTTTTTCTAATAAGCCTGCCATATATGGGTGACGTAAATCTCTTCCCATGTTTTTCTAATGAAGTTTGGTAACGTAGGCAAGAAGGTCTCCAGTTGATCTTCGGAAGAGAACTGTCGGTGAAATTCCTCCCGACTGCTTTTGCGCATTTTGGCATTGTATGTTTCTTTTGATGCATCTATTGTTTAGCTGCTTCGACCACCTCGAAAAAAAAACACGTATAACCGACGAATAATATGTCCTCATTTCGAACAGGACTTACAAAAATGAACAGCACACCGCTACCGAAGTTAAAGAGGAAGTGTCGACCCACTTTCGTTTGAAAAACAGCTTAGAAGTCACCTTGCCTAACGCCATCTTCATCGGTCCCTTTTTCGTCACCGTCGACCGACTCAGACAATTTCTGATCCAGAAAAGGCAGGAGATAGGCGCAAAACTGTTGGATATGTTCGCTGCACGAATGAAAGAGTGTATCGAAGAGGTCTGTATTGATCATTCTAGAACACGTGATTTTGACATGGTCTCTTGAGGGACACACAAACTATCTGTTAGGTTACCTTTGATGATCATTGCCCAGGCCGTCCCTCTGCCACATCCACAATATAATAACAGTTTCACCAAACAAAATTATGAAATTCTTTCTGGTTCAAACTCGGATTCCAAGGAAAACGATCCCAGTAATTCTGGTTTTCTATGACAGATCTTGACAAAATACAATGTTTGCCCCTCAGCAACCTGTCAAATGACGTAATTCTGGAATGATTAATTATTTTTTTATCTTTTACTTGTCTATTACTGCTTTATAATACCTTGACAACGGTTGCTATTAACGAACCCATAACGCCCAGGGCGTTATGGAGGGAATACAGGCAAAAAATTCAATATACACCCTGGTAGTGAAGAATATTATTATACCACGGGACCATATACCCCTCGGCTGAAGCTTCGGGATATAATCTTGACGAGTAATACTGATATTCTTTACTACCTTGTTGTATAAATAACTATTAGGTGCTTCAAGAATTCAAGCAAATCATGTTCAAACTGGCTGAAAAACCGGAAACTATCGAACGTGTTTTCGAGATGAGAGACTGGATGGAAACTATACCGATGTCTGTAAGAACTTTTGAGGAAATTACAAGGAGATATGTATTGGTGAGTAAAAGAAAGTTAATCTTCGTTATTCAACTTCCTGCGAGGAAATGTTAGGTTATTTTCATCACCATACTTCGAATTTATATTCTTCTTCTCGTTATTAAAACGATGTATATACAGGAATATGAAGTTTTGGATCATTTCTGGTATGGGCTGCCGAACGATGATTTTGAAAACAAGTGGGAGGCTATTGGATGGCCATTGAAAATTCAGCATGCAGTGGAAGCTACAGAAACGTTTTTGAAAGAAGAGGAAGAGAAGTTCTACAAAATGCAATTAACTGACGAATTTGCGCTGAACGACAAAATCGAGATTTTGACTGCTCAAGTTGTGCAAATGTCAATGATGAGGGATTTCACCAAGGTAGAGCTGTCCGAGGACATTTACTTCCGGAATACTGAAAAGTTCACCAAATGTTGATTACATTCATTTTATAATTATTCAGTAGATACTAGAAGGGAATCTTGTTCAGGATGTAACACGTTGGGGTACTGTTAGATTGAGTATTTTGATTCACTCTCCTGGTGATTAAAACAAACAATGATCGTTTATTTCTAGACACATGAAATCGCCGTCGATATGAGAAGAGTTTGGAAAAGTATGAAAGAGGCTCAAGAACAAGGACAACTCCTGAACCAGAGACAGAAGTTGTTCAATGTCCCAGTAGTACCTTTTGACAATCTGACGAAGCTCTTGAAAGAATTTGAACCGTACAACAATTTGTGGGGAACTGCATCAGGTGAAAACTTTCATATTCCTTTAATTTCTTCTAAGTATATTTTCACCTTTTTTCTGGCAGTGATAGAATACTGAGATATCTTTTATAGATGTTATTTCTAACATCCAATTACGTATTGATGAACATCATAAAAATATGGATTCTTGGCCACGAATATATGCGAAGACTTTGAATAGTCAATCATAACATTACATGTGGTGTACTGGTGAACCACAAGGATCAGTTTTGTGACCAATTTCATTTCAAATTTATATCGATTCAATATCAATTCTGGAATTTGAAAGAAAGCTGAAATTATTTGCAGATGATTTAAAAATACATAATATAGATATAAAGTATATATTTTGGCTGGTATATGATCATTCATGATTTATGTAAAACAAGAATGAACCCAAAATACCACATAATATATCATGTTTGTTAGGTTAATGAAGACAATCAATGAATCAATATTTTCATGGTGCAATTAACATGATTTATAGAGAGAATATTTCATTTTGGAGATTTATTGATTGATTGTCTTTATCACCCCAAGAGTTCTGTTTATAATATTTTTCATTCAAATTTTCCTGAGCAAGTATTTTTCAAGATTGATTTCGCACCTTCTTGAATCATGTATATTTATCAACTCATTTAATAATAATAATAATAATAATAATAATGTAAGTTTATTCAAAAACGTTTACAAAATATACATTGGAATAAACATATAGGTAATTTGAATAAACTGGGAAAAACCTTACGAAGTTAACCTTGTAGTATGGATAAAAAATAAATAAATGTACATAGGTCAATAAATATTTAACAATACCGCCTGGTAGGAAGAGGTGGGGGCTTGGCAATATATTTAAAATCGAACTTCAATGCGAGTATCATATCTATTGATCAATCTAATACCGAACAACTGTGGGTAGCATACGCCTCAAAAAACGAAAAATATTCTCTGGGTGTTCTTTATCGTCCACCCAAGCAACAAATAAACGAATTTTTATATGACTTCGAAAGTTCTTTGAGTTCTATTGCTCCTAAATATGATTATGTGGTATGTGCTGGTGATTTCAATATAGACATGTTGGATGCCGAAGGCAACGCTACCAAATTATTAAATAACACTCTATCGAGCTATGATCTGAAAAATCTTATTTTCGAACCAACTAGATTCAGCCAAACCAGTGCCAAAGCTATCGATTTGATATTATGCTCCGAATCAATGATTGTCGATAACGTACTTGTCAGTGATGCCTCTAACATTTCTGATCACTGTCTCATCTCCTGTACTTTCGGATCTGGCGGAGTCACTTCAGAACCAAATTTTCGCACATTTCGAGATTTCAAAAATTTTAATGTTGCCTCATTCACGTCCGATTTGTCTCATTCTGATTTTTCTGAAATCTATCATCTCGATGACGTTGATTCTAAAGTAGATTGCTTCAATAATATCCTAAAAGCATTATTCGATCTTCATGCACCTTTCAAAACAGTTAAAGTAACCAGACCAGCAGCACCTTGGATAACTGAAGTTATCAAATTGATGATGTCCTTACGTGACAAGGCCCTGACCAAATATAAACGAACTAAACAAGAACGCGATTGGAACTATTATAAGGATCTAAGGAATCAAACTAAATATGCCATAATTCGGGAAAAAAAAGCTTATATCCATTACCGATTGAGGAACAATGAGAATAACAGGCTTTTTTGGAAAGAACTCGATAAACTGAACATCCACTCTAAAAATAAAAGATATGCCATCCCTGCACCACTGAATAATGCTCGTGACATCAATGATTATTTTGCCAGCTCTTCACGAAGTGACTTACCACTAGATGTTGATAGTGTCAACCGATACTCGAACAACCATCTACCTGGAGCTGGCTCTTTCAGTTTCACACCCATTAGGGAAGCAGATATTTTCAAAACCATCCTCTCCATCAAATCGAGGGCTATAGGTGTAGACTCTATAAGTGTAGACATGTTACTCCATTCTTGCCCTCTCGTCCTCAAACATATCAGGCACATTTTCAACTATTGTTTAGAGAAAAATACCTATCCATCTATATGGAAGAAAGCTGTTGTACTCCCTCTGCCTAAATTGAGTCATCCCACAGAATACAAACACCTCAGGCCAATAAGCATACTCTGTGTTCTGTCGAAAGTTTTCGAGAAGTTAATCTACACACAAATGAAAGCCTACTTAGAAGACAGCCATCTACTCCCTTCACATCAATCGGGATTTAGGTCACATCATAGCTGCAACACAGCGCTACTAAAAGTGACCGATGACATACTCAAATATATGGATAATAAAATGCTGGTATTGCTGATATTCTTAGACTACACTAAAGCATTTGACAGAATCAAACATGATCTCCTCTTAGCTATACTTCATTATATTGGATTCAGTGATGATTCTGTTCAATTTTTCGAAACCTACTTACTCAATCGTTTTCAAGCTGTCAAACTCGAGAACCAACTTTCTGATTTTGTTCATATTGCGAATGGAGTTCCTCAAGGATCTATTTTGGGTCCGTTACTTTTCATCATGTACACCGTCGATTTGCACACAGTCATAAAATTTTCTAGCAGTCATTTCTATGCAGATGATGTTCAGCTATATTTACCCTTCACTGAAAATAACTTGGATAATGCTGTTCAGTATCTGAACGATGATTTGACCTCGATAGTTGATATCTCGAACAAACTTTGTCTTTCTATCAATCCAGCAAAGTCAAATGTGATTTTATTCGGCCGGAAAGAAATCCGAATGAGGTGCTTACCACAAATCATCCTCAAAGTTGATGATGAAGTAATTCCGTTCACAGATACTGTGAAAAACTTAGGTTTGTTCATGGATCATACACTTAGATATACTAAGCATGTGAATACTATCATTAAGAGGGCCTTTTGCAACTTGAAACTGATATATTCTAATAAATCATTTTTGGATAAAAAAAGTAAAACCATATTGTGTGAAACCTTAGTTCTGTCTCACTTCAATCATGCGGATGTTGTCTACGGCCCAGCATTACTGAAATCAGATCTGAATAGACTTCAACTGGTACAAAACTCTTGTGTCCGCTTGATTTATGGCTTGAGGAAACGCCACAAAATTTCAACTCCATTACGCGAACTTGGTTGGCTGAACGTACAAAAAAGAATCTTGCTACATCAATGCGTAATGTTTCATAAAATTATTCTTCAAAGGAAGCCACCTTACCTATTCGAGAAAATTTCTTTCAGAACAGACGTCCACAATATAAACATCAGATTCAAATCAAAATTAACACCACCTTTGCATAGAACCACTTTCTATCAGTCCTCATTTTCTTACACGGTATCTCGGCTATATAATAACGTTCCAGATAATCTGAAAAATGTACCCATTGAGGCTTTCAAAATGAAATTGAGAAAGTTATTGTTAACGGATCAGATAAGATTCTAGATGCTCCCCTTTGTTTGTTTGTTTGTTTTCATTATTGATTTTTTTCTTCTTTTTTCTTCCTCTACTTAGGTCTAGTACTCATCATTATAATTAGCATTGTTTTCATTCCTTTTTGGTCAGCATTCTCGGAATAGTATTCATATATGAATATTTTTATTTATAAATATACATATATCTATAGAACACAATAATATGTAATTCAAAATATTATTTTTTTTTCTTGTTGTTGTTTTGTTCAGGTTGAGTGTAAGAAAGTAATTACCCATTTCACCATGGGTATACGCTAACTCTGCCTTTTGATAGTAGACTACCATGTTTATAATGTGCTTTACTGTTACTTTGTTTTTACTATCAATAAAAGCGTTTATTATTATTATTATTATTATTATCAAATTATCACAAGGAAAAATTGTCTCATTAAGAAATGAGACAAGTATTCAATTCATAATATATAGTGTACTGAGCATTTCATTCAATACGCATAATTATTGTATAAACTTATTCCATTGTGAAATACAGATTGTTTGCCAATGACTGTATTGACTTCATTAAAAGTCCAATTTGATATTTTCATTATTCCTGGCAAAATGAATATAAAACAACATACTCAAAGTTTATATGGAAAGATAAATATCCCCGTTGCTGATCGAGAAATAGCCTGCGAGGTTAGTAACGAAGCCTACACTGAACACTCCGGGTGAATATATGTGTATATTAGAAAAAACTTACTTGTTTTAGATTGGTTACGTTCTCACGAAATTTGGATGGACAATCCTATATTGAACATAGACGCAAACGCTATCGAAGGTACAGTAGCTGACATGTACAAGATGATGGTGAAATCGATCAAGGTGTTCAGTGATATCGAGGCGGTGCAAAGTGTAGCGATAGAAATCAGAAACCAGATAGAAGCATTCAAGCCGATGATACCTTTGTTGCAAGCTTTGAGGAATCCGGGAATGAAGGATAGACATTGGAACGAATTTCAACGAGAAACAGGTGAGAATCAAGCTATCAGCCACCAGCATCGTTTGTGAAAATCAAGGAAAAACTTTTCTCCACATAAAATCTCTTAAGAGGAACACATATGTTATTGAATGTCTTGGAGATGACTGATTTTCGTCCCATCAATAATATTTGGATTATCTAACAAAGAAAGAATTTTTCAAATTGCACCCTCATGATTTTTTCAGTTCATCTTATACAACTTTTTATTCTCAATGCAGTGATATATAGGACTAGATATTCAGCGATAAATTCATTCTGAGAAATTTCTAATGATAGCAATTTTGTGAGAAACTATCGATTTTTTTCTTGAATGAATTGTTCGAAATGACTTATCATTCACCACACATTGATGAAATAATTATTTCATCAATCACTATACATTAAATTAACCATATACAGTATGATGCAAATGTATGGAATAAATTCATTCCAAAAAGTAGAGTTCAGAACTTATTTAGCGATGTATTTTTTCAACTAGACGACCCTTCGATGTTCAATTCTCAGTAGAAGATCTCTGCAAGATTCAGTTAACCAAATGATAATCCATTTTAATTTCAATCTTCTTTTGCAAAATTTTGACTATTGGATAGACGATCAGTAGACCTTTCAAACGAGGTGTCACATGACCCCTGTTTGTATTTAAAAAAACCGTCCATTACGTTATTACTCCAACACCGGTGACGCAACATCTCTCATATGAATGTCATGAGATGAGGTTTCAAAAATTAAAACTCACGTGTTTTTGGAATTTCTTCAAATGTCGCCCATTTCTGAAATAATGAATTTATTCCATACATTTGCATCATACTGTACCTATATCGCCTATTCAGACTTCGTGTGTAGCTCTGATTATTCAAGGTGTAACTGGATGTAACAGTATAATAAGCTTGTTAAATCATTCAATTCTTTATAATCTTTACTATACTATATCGATCGTGATGTATAGTCGGATTGAGTTCTTCGAGATGAACCGAAAAAAATATAGGGGTGCAGTATGAAAAACCAAAGTAAGGGACTGTTTCTAATAGATTGTTTTACGCTGAAGTGATTTGATCTCACCATTTTGGATAGATTTTGATCGCATAAGTTCACAATTTTTTGAAATTTTTTGTATGTAAGATATCCCAGATATTTGCTGGCCTAAAAGCTCTGGGAAAAAGGTTGTGAAGAACTTAGTTCTGAATCAATCTTCTATTTTTTTTTATCTTTCGATTTTTCTAGGTATAACTTTACAATGGACCCCCATTACGACTTTCAGTGACTGCCTAAAACTTGGCATAGAACATTTTATGGACTCTATGATAAAAATCGGCGAGACTGCTACGAAAGAATATTCAATAGAGCAAACCCTCGACAAGATGGTCGCAGAATGGGAAAATAATAAACTAGAGTTGACACCATATAAGAATACTGGTGAGCTATCAATATTTATCATAATAAACTATTTTACCAACAACCAAACCAATAGGCTACTGAACTCTGAACTTGATTTTCTCACATCTACATATACCTCAAAACACGTTTCATACCATTCAAATATGTTTTTTCTGTGACGCTACCCCACATCTGGCAACTCATTTGTGATTTTGAGACCTCAAAATCATTCATAAAACTTTCTAAAAACAATGAATTTGAAAGCATCAGTTATTTTTCTACTGTTGTATAATCACTGAATTATCTTGAAAAAATATTAACTATACTGTATAGGAAATTGACTAGCATCCCTTGTATCAGTCTTAGTCATTCCCAAGCACAAGTCAACAATTTTTACACGTAGTTTCTCTTATATAGCTCCGAAACTATACAACTCGCTTCCCAGTGAATATAGATCGTTCACGATCAAAAACTTCAAAAAAAGGCTGAAGTCGCTTCTTCATGCCTAGTTCTCCTCTTATGCGGTATATGGCCCACTCATCATGATATGCGACTATGGTTCTTTATATTATAGTATAGGTTGACTTAATTTGTATACAAAATTTTGTTTCTCAAAAACATGATAGTCTAAGACTCCTTTTTGTATTTCTCTTAATTGATTTTGGTTATTGTAAATGTATTTTCAAGGTTGAGTTTAAAAACAGCGTAAGCTGACACTCCGCTCTTTCACTTTGATCCCACTTCGACTCACAAAATTTATATGTAATCATTTATTGTTTCCTCATTGTGAATAAAGACGCTTTATTATTATTATTATTATTGTATTATGTTGATAAAAAAGTATCCATTATTATTTCAGGTACTTACATCATGAAAATATCGGAAGAGATCCAACAGATGTTGGACGATCACATAGTGTTGACCCAGCAACTGTCTTTCAGTCCCTTCAAGGGACCCTTCGAAGAGAAGATAGACGCCTGGGAGGAGAAACTCAGGATCACTGCTGACGTCATCGAAGAATGGATGGATGTGCAAAAGTGAGATGATTGAATGATGATTATAACATCAAAATATAATACATGCGTGTGAGTCAATAACAAGGCCTACACAGAACACACTATTTTCCGGTTGATTTTCATTTGAAAACATAATACGTAATGTATTCGTTTGTCGTACGGACAAAAATAGACCCCCTGGGGGAAAAACTCAGGATCACTGCTGACGTCATCGAGGAATGGATGGATGTGCAAAAGTGAGATGATTGAATGATGATTATAACATCAAAATATAATACATGCGTGTGAGTCAATAACAAGGCCTACACAGAACACAATATTTTCCGGATGATTTTTATTTGAAAACATGATAGGTACGTAATGTATTTTTCTGTCGTTCGGACAAAAATTAATTCCACAAACACCAAGGTAATCCTAGGGTTCCAATCAGACCATTTTACGAGTGTCGTATTTTCATTTATTGTATGCCTATACATGAAAGCTTACTTATGACTTTGGTGAATCATGAATAACAAGCTCAAATCAAATTTTATATTATTCAGGAATTCCGAAATTCATGATCATCACACTAGACAATATAACTTGTTTCATCTTGAAGCTGCAAATTCTAAACTTGGGCAAAAAAAGTTCACACATGAGGCGATTTCGAAATTCAATAAGTTACCAGATGATATCGAAAAAAACCCAAATATTATGCAATTCAAAAATAAAGTGAAGAAATATATGTATATGCAAAGGAATGATCAAAGCCGAAAGACTATGAATTTCCTTTTTTTTCACTGTATTTATTTTTCCGCTTCTTGTTCACTATAATATGACTGTTATTTTGAGATATCTTAATGATATGTAAGATTTCTTCACTATTCGTAATTTCAATTATACAAAACAGTCGATAATACTTCATGAATGATCTTATACCAGGAATTATTACTGTCTGATCATTCATGTCATTCCTACTAGAAAATTAATTATACTTTATATATTATTTGTATGGAATATGTATCAATGAAGAAGAGAATGTAATGCAATAACTGAAATAAATAAGCTGGATTATCTTTCAAACTGGAGAGATATGAACGTGTGTATAGCCTGATGAACAACTATTGACAAATTCACGGTTAACATAAAAATTCGATGGGGTTGAACTCCTGCTTAGTAGAATGAAACAATTCATTGTGTTGCAATTATGCGATTATTATAATACATTAACAAACATTAACTAACGAAATGAATATTCTTCTGATGACAGCTCTGTTTCCGAATGACATTGAATTCGAATTTCATTCCTGTTGTTGGATCATTTCGCCATTATACAGGGTGTAAATTTGAAAACTTTCAATGCGAATATCTTGCGAAATAAAAAAGTTAGAAAAACGCCGCTTGGCAAAAATGCTAAAGAGTTAAGGGGAACTAGAACCACCATATTTCAGTGAAGGGATGAGCCACCCTGTCAGCGCAACACACCCCAACTTTGAAATGTCAAATGGCAACCTCTTTTGTGATACCTCAAATGAACGGTCTCAGTCAGTAGTATTCACCTGTACTAGACTTTTTTTCCACCCACTACAGGGTGTACGAAAAACATTAATTCGAGGGTCTAAATTTGAAAACTTCCAATGCAAATATCTCGCTAAATAAAACAGTTAGGAAAACGCCGTTTGGCACAAATGCTACAGAGTTAGGGGGAACTAGAACCACCATACTTCAGTAAAGGGATGAGTCACCCCGCGTCGGCGCGACACACTCCATCTTTGAAATGTCAAATGGCACTACCTCTTTTGTGATACCTCAAATGAACGGTCTCAGTCAGTAGTATTCACCTGTACAAGACTTATTTTCCACCCACTACAGGGTGAACGAAAAACAAAGTCGAATAAAATAAAATGCAGAATGCCGATATATTTCAAGAGATGTGTTCCAAAATGTTAGAATGGCATTTGAACATCGATTATACTATTGCTTACAACAGAATGGAATTCATTTTGAACATCTGATCAAATAAAATATCCTTTTAACAAAATTCATTTTATTTTATTCGACTTTATATTTTTCGTACACCCTGTAGTGGGTGGAAAAAAAATCTTGTACAGGTGAATACTACTGACTGAGACTGTTCATTTGAGGCATCACAAAAAAGGTAGTGCCATTTTACATTTCAAAGTTGGGGTGTGTCGCGCCGACGGGGTGACTCATCCCTTGACTGAAATATGGTGGTTCTAGTTCCCCTTAACTCTTTAGCATTTTTACCAAACGGCGTTTTTCTAACTTTTTTCCTTCGCGCGATATTCGCATTGGAAGTTTTCAAATTTACACCCTGTATGTTAAAGCAGTAGAAGAAGTCTGGTTTATAACACGCACGACATTCTAATTTCCAACTCGTATGATTCGCAGCACTCGCTTACGGCTCATACTGCATTCCGTGTTTATTAAACAATACACATGAGTCTGACCAGGTCAATTGGAACAGCACGTGGTTACTTATGCATTGAATGTAATGTCCCAAAGTAAACCTGGTCGGACTCTATATACCTACTATATTATTTTCAGTTATGAGTATTTGAACTCTAGAATTTCCTTACTACCTACCCTTTTTAGGATTACTAAATATTGCAAGGTCTAAATATACCTACTCCAAATTCATAATTATAATCCGAGACTCTTGGATTGTTTACAGTTAATGTAGTCATTTTTCATCGTCTTTCCTGAAAAGTTCTCAAATTCCATGACCAATCCGTTTCAATCGAAATCATCATTAAAAATTCGCCTGCGAAGCTTTTTTGCTTTCAGTCACACCAGCGCAACGAATTACCCCCCATGGAACCAAGCTGATGTATGAACGCCTTCACCACTAACCAGCAATTTTTCAGGCAATGGATGTACCTGGAGCCAATATTTACTAGCGCCGATATAACCAGACAGTTGCCAGTCGAAAGCAAAAAGTACAACTCGATGGAAAGAACGTGGAAACGAATCATGAGGAACGCCACCGAATGTCCAAACGTAATCACATTTTTTTACTTTTCTTTCATCGATTTCAATAACATACATCACTTTTCATATCAATAGTAATCATCATGTCACTCATCTACAGTAGATGGGCAATGAGGATATGAGGTCAATTTGGTAGGAAGTGATAAAGGGCGTGGTCTAATTAATGGGACCACATGATTGGTTAGACATGAAAGTGGTCCCTGATTCGAATAAGATGAAAATACAAATGATCTTGTTCTTCAGATAATTGAATACTGTGGCGACCGTAAACTATTGGAGAGCTTGAAAGACGCCAATCACATCCTTGAGGTGGTCCAAAAAGGGCTCTCCGAATACCTAGAAATCAAACGTATGGTGTTCCCTCGTCTCTATTTCCTCAGTGATGACGAGCTACTAGAGATTTTGTCTCAAGCTCGTAACCCGTTGGCTGTGCAGCCTCATCTAAGGAAATGCTTCGAAAACATTGCCAGGGTGAGTGAGCCTCAAATTAATAAAGCCCAATCAAATACTAACTCTTGCTTTTTCTAGTTGACTTTTGAATCAGATCTCAAGATCACTCAGATGTTTTCTGCTGAAGAGGAATGCGTCGACTTGGATCCTACTTTATATCCGGAAGGTAACGTCGAGTGCTGGTTGGTGCAGGTCGAAGAATCCATGAAGAATACCGTCAGAACGACCTTGGGAAAATCCCTCGATGATTTGCCATTGAAAGATAGGAAAGATTGGGTGAGATTCACATCAGAACATGTATGAGCAAGAGCCAACAAATAGTTAAGAACTGGTCTTGAGCTTTGGTGAAGAGCCAAGTACAACTGATGAGCACTAGTGGGCCAAAATAGCTCTTCCTAACAATTGGAATAGTTCAGTTCATATATCTTGCTACAATGAACACCGATAGTCGATATAATATTTTGTCTTCATTTGTCACAGGTTCTGTGTTGGCCTGGCCAAGTAGTGATAGCTTGTTGTCAGACTTTTTGGACTACTGGTGTAGAACAGGGGATCCTCGAGAATCGTCTGAAGGAATTCTTAGAAGACACCTTACTAGTCAATTTGGATGCACTACGTAGTTTGGTCAAAGGAAATTTGACTTTCCTGCAACGAGAGATTCTTTCGGCTCTAATCGTCATCGAAGTACACGCCAGGGATGTGACCCAGAACTTAGTGAACCTGAATATCGTGAACGAGAACGATTTCGATTGGATCAGTCAGCTACGGTGAGTGATGTTTCTATTACCATGGTGGTTCAAAATCTCATGCTTCGTTCCACTGAGAATGAGTTCCACAACACTTGAAGTCCCTACAGTTACCCCAGGTTTATTGCGTGGAAACATCGTGAAGGCTCTGAACGGCGATGAATTGATGAAAAACCTGCCGCGGCGTCCCGACCAATCACCATCAACCTGTTCCAGGTACTATTGGATCGAGAACCAGATGAAAGTACGCGCCGTGAACGCCGAGTTCCAGTACGGGTACGAATACCTCGGCAACAGCGGCCGTCTAGTGATCACCCCCCTCACCGATCGATGCTACCTCACGCTCACAGGGGCCTTGCACCTCAAATTTGGTGGAGCTCCCGCAGGTCCCGCGGGTACCGGCAAGACGGAAACGACAAAAGATCTGGCCAAGGCCATGGCTATACAGTGCGTCGTGTTCAATTGCTCGGATCAGCTGGACTTTATGGCGATGGGCAAGTTCTTCAAGGGCTTGGCTAGTTCAGGAGCGTGGGCTTGCTTCGACGAGTTCAACAGGATTGACATAGAGGTTTTGTCGGTAGTAAGTATCTTGTTGGTTGAGATTCAAGCCTGGGTCTTAATCAGCAGTCAGAAAGAAAGAGATCCACCTACATCATCAGATAGGATACTTCCTGATGCAGCTTCCATGTCTACTCTGATTAAAACACCTTCGAGCTCATTCATGAAGGGTATATAGAGCTTTTCGCCTGTTATCAAGAATCAGATCAAGTGCATCGGCAGCTCTAAGAAACAACTACTCCATTTCACATGGTCTTTGGCCGTTTACAAAATGAAGTTCGACTTTTCAGGCTACATCCAGTAACATTCTGATCGGGAGAGACCCTAAAAAGATTTCCTGGTCCTTGTGAACTCTATCAAAGTCCATTTATCTTCTGCTTCGATCATAAGTGTAGCTTCCAGGGTATCACCCTCTCTTGAAAGAAACCAATGCACAAAATCTCATCTAAAATATATTCCTGCACAGTTCCGAACGGTTGCTGCATATTTTGTTTTTCGTACATACTCCTACATTTACCGTTGTTGCTGATACTGCTGCTCTAGAGTTCAATTTACTACTTTAAATGAAAATATGACGGCGTCAATAACTCTAATAACGCTGAACATCTCTACCGTAGTTCTTGCTTCGTCCTCACTTGGATCCAGTGCACAATATCTTCTGCAAGATTGATGTTCTATCTTCTTTCACTAGCATTCCTACTTCACTCGATGATGTCTCTTCTCTGCCTCTTAATGAGTTTTGTGGTTCAGGTCGCCCAGCAAATAACGACGATCCAGAAGGCGCAACAGGCTCGCCTGGACCACTTCTTCTTCGAAGGTGGCGAGATAGCCTTGAAGCAATCGTGCGCCGTCTTCATCACGATGAACCCGGGCTACGCCGGTCGAACCGAGCTGCCGGACAACCTCAAGGCTCTCTTCAGACCCGTCTCGATGATGGTGCCCGACTACACGCTGATCGCCGAGATATCGCTATTCTCGTTCGGGTTCGGAGATGCTCGGCAGCTGGCCAACAAGATCACGACCACGTTCAAGCTCAGCTCGGAGCAGCTGAGTAGCCAGGACCACTATGATTTCGGGATGAGAGCGGTGAGTCCTCTGGACAGACAATTATAAATCACGAAAAATGGCGAATGGAGATAGCTCTGCGAAATCTTGGGCAGAGATCGAGGGCATGACATCGATTAATTCATATTCGTATTTGTCTTGAATTTGAGAATCTGTATACGCAGATCATCGAGATATCACTGCTATCGTTCGGATTTGGTGATGCTAGGCAGCTGGCTAACAAGACCACGGCTATGCTTCAATCTTAGCTCAGAGCAGATGAGCAGATAGGGTCACTATAATGTTGGGATGAGGACGCTTAGTCCTCTATTAACCGCGATCCTTATAGTGTATGCCGACAATTTTGAACGCCGAGCATAGCGAATGGTGGAGATAACTTCGCGGAATCATGGGCAGAGAATCGATGACATGCCATCGATATTATATTAAATTAACATAAATAGTCGCAGAACTGGTTTCTACGTGAAGCTTATCCTTCAGATCTACGACAAAAATGGGTATAGATATTATATCATAATGAAGTTAAGGTGAAATCATACGAACCCGCCGAAAAGTTACACTTTACCTACATGTAAAAACAATCTACTATTTCTGAACTAGGTGAAAACGGTCATTGCTGTCGCGGGCAATCTCAAGCGGGAGAAGCCGAACATGGACGAGAAGCAGATCGTGCTAAGAGCTATCAGGGATGTTAACGTACCCAAGTTTTTGAAGGACGATCTGAAGTTGTTCAATGGTGAGTTGAAAGCTAATTCTGAGTAGTGTCACGATCTGCACTCACCCAGAAAAACACTATCAATCAATTGATCGATTTTATAGGTATTGTATCAGATCTCTTTCCTCGAATGGTGGAAGAACAAATCGACTATGGCATTCTCAAGGAGTCTATACGAAGTGCAAGTTTGAGGCTCGGTCAAGAAGATGTTGAAGGTTTGTGATTCAGAAATTTCACAAATTATTTGAGAAACTTCATTCATTTCGGTTTCATCTGGATGTTAATTCGATCTAACGTCGTTTTTATTGGTTTTTCTTGATAGAGTTTGTGAAGAAAGTGATTCAGTTATATGAAACAACGGTGGTTCGACATGGTCTGATGTTAGTCGGACCAACAGGATCTGGAAAAACCAAGGTTAGTTCTACTTATAGTTGTTATTGAAAATAGTTATAGTGTTATTTTTCGATCCCCTATATAAATCACAACTTCCATATCATCATCATGAATATAAATGCAAAATGACTTTCAAGTTGAATATGCTGCTCCTAAATTTATGATGTGTAGAGTAAGTAAACAAGGCTGTTTGACTGACTACACGTATATTCTTTACCATCAATTTTGGTGAATATAACTTGAATACTTATTGTGTTCTGATTCCTATGGTTTATTGGTCATCTCAAATCCACGGACAAACAATTGAGTTGTCAACAAACGTGTGCAAGAACACAAATTCGTGAATAAGTTCTGAATATGCATAACACTGCCATAACATGAATGTATGATATCATTAGAATTCAAGAAGGATATTATTGTTATTTGTTTTATAATAGTAATGAAGACACTGATTACTTGAGATTTCATAGGTATATCGACGCCAAAGCATGCATGCTGAAGCCATTTTATTTTACCTCCCACGGGAGTTGATATTTTTTCCCTCCCGTGGCAGTAATTTGACAACTTTGTTTCCTTAAATGAGGGAGCAAACGCCTACTTTCGATTCAGTGAGTAGATAAGTTCCTTTATGGACACCACGAAGGACCATTCCCTTCATGGTAGTATGGGAATCCCTACATGTAGCATGTAGCTGTCTAGCTGTACCCACTAAACACTCCACTTCCTCTCGAAGCTCTTCTGACCGAAGTCTTCGATTACACTTAGGCCTGTTGGCTCATTGTACCATTATACCTCGACTATGCCGTTATTGATTTTACCATAAACAAACCATGGTTCTTATATAAGGGCCACTGCAAATGCCGGCACAGTAACTGTGAGCACTACTGCTCACAGTACCAGAAGTTCGTTTGAAAGGCCCTTTTCATTCAGGTTGCTAAAGACTACTCTTTCGAGCCCTGGTCTCGTCCATGAAGAAGGCCAACAGTTTTCCTTCTCCTACGAGTAATAGGGGAAGGGGTTGGTTCAGCCCTGTGGTGCCCCCTCCACAGGGCTCTACTCTGTTTCCCAGAGGTCCCGTTATCTACACCCTATAACCTCGGTGCAATTTATTCCTCGTCACGGGTTCCCACAACTTGGATTACGTTGCTAGAGCCTCTTTATCAATTGACCATTCTAGAACACGTGATTTTGACATGGTTTCTTGAGAGGCTCACAAACTATCTTGTTAGGTTACCTTTGATGAGCATAGCTCTGTCCATCCTTGCCACATCCACAATATAACAGTTTCACCAAACAAAATCATGAAATTATTTCTGGTTTCAAATCGGATTCCAAAGGAAACGATCCCACTAATTCTGGCTTCATATGACAAATCTTGACAAAATATAATGTTTGCCCCTCAGCAACCTGTCAAATGACATAATTCTGGAATGGTTAATCCCTCCCTATCCCCCCTAGATACGCACGATGTTCCACGAACATTATAGGAATTTTCTCTCGTGCGCTCCAAGAGATGAAAAAGTGGGAGAAAATCATAATACTATGTTGAAAGTTACTGGTGTGGAATTTTCAAAGAAATTCCATTTGCTTTTCCTCACTATGATGAATGTCATGGTATTTTTCTCAAGAAATTAGTGTATTCATCTATTACTAGGCTTGCTATTTTCTTAGTACCGAATCTGGAAAATTTTTCCCAGAAAAACGAACACAAAGGCGATTGTTTTTGTGTCATAATAATGAAAAATTAATTTTCCTGTTCTTGATTTTTCTGTGAATTGCCGTTTATAGAAAATAATGAGTTTATTGATCTTTTCATCATTCCTGCCGAATTGAGTAGGTAGCTGTTTTTATTCAGATAAATAGAGCTGGGAGTTCGCTAAATTTGCATCATGAACAAGACGTGATGTTCATTAACTTTTAATTGCTCTCTCTTGCCAATAAAATACCTTCAAAATCACTGAATGGCAATTCACGGATAATTTGTGCGTACTTGTAATTGTAATATAGTATAGGAGTGGAAAAATGTTTCCGACTGAATGAAAGAATGTAATGTTAATTTTTCATATCTTATCCCGAATTCCAAAAATCTTGAAGGTTATCGATTGCATAGGGCATGTACCTAAACTGTCCGTCATATTTCATTGATGTTGAAAAATGATCACTCCAAAGGCGATACTCATAATATAGGGTGTTGCGAAATACAATGGACATTGCTTCACAGGCAATAGTCCCAGTGGTTTGGTGAAGAAATAGGTAGGAATATAACTGGTTAGTTTCAAAGATGATGGGTGTTGAAGTTTAACATAGAATGAGAGTCTTGTTTCAAGGATATCTACAGGATGAGTCAAAAATGTGTACCCAGCTTTCTGGAGGAGATAGGTACATTGGAAAATAAGTATACTATGATGAATAAACTAATGGCCCACAATTTGTATCGAAGGCGATATAACCTTCCAATGTTGATTGAATTAAAATATTTTTTTCGCATAACTTCTTAACGGTAGAAGCCACCAAATTGAAATTTCCTGTATAAATGTGTTGATACAATACAGTTTTCTTGTACACTCCTGCATTATTACTCTTTTCCTTGTATTCTTTCCCGTGAAAAAAACAGAAGCATCTGATAGAAAGAAGAAAATGATATACAAAATACAAAAAATGTAACCGTTATCGAGATATTTAAGTTTTTGTAGTGACATATGATATCAGCATTCATCAGTAACAGTATTTTAGTAGGCCTCGAACTTCTTGCCCGGTCACCATCTCTATTTTTCGTTTTGAAACATTCTTTTCACGCAATTTCTGCAAAGTCCTCAAAATTGTTCTAGAATTTGGAACGAGTCAAGCGGGAAACATCTCTGCATAACGAATAACCTGCCATTTCTTAAAATCGCAGTTGAAAATCGCAGTATATAAATATACCGGGTGTCAACGAATCTATTAGACAAGTCATAACTTCTAGACTATTAGGTGTATCAAAATGAGATTTGGTGTAGGTAAATGGTGTGTGAAGAGGAGAGTTTTCACATATTTTTCACTTTCCGGTCACTTCCGGTTTCACCAGAAATGACTCCGGTTCTAAATTTTTAAATGGAACACCCTGTATATTGTAACATTTTTGGATTTCTGAGACAATTCTAGATCAGAATGTGACAGTTTCGGAAGTTTTCATGCCTACTTAATTTTTTCGGAGACACTTTTGAAATAACATCATAACAATCGCGAAGTTTTAATGACAAGTATGTTGAATATGAATAAGACAAGTTGGCAAAATTATATTTTTGTGTCTAACTATAATTTTTCAAATGGCGACCACTTTTTGACAAGCACTTTCCGAAAAAAGGATATTTTGACGAATCTAACGATACTAATTTATTTGCGATTGGATAAACAATTTGAACATAATTAACAATAACTTCAGCGATGCACGTAAATTTTTTTCAATTTCCTAATTTCTCAAAATTTTCACTATAGTAAATTTTCAAAGTGCATTCCTCCTTGTTCGAGACACATTTCAGCTCGTTCAATTGTTTCTCTCAACACGTTTCGTAACATTTGTGGCGTTATACTTCTGAATGCCTTTAGAATCCTTTCTTCTAAGATTTCCAGAGTGGCTGGGGCTGTTGCATAGTTGATCCTTCCTTTGACATAACCCCATAGAGTTTACTTCCGATCATGGCCACCTAGATGTAATTTCAAAAGTGACTCCCAAAAAATTGAGTAGGCATAAAAACTTTCTAAAATGTCACATTCTGATCTAGAATTGTCTCAGAAATCCAAAAATGTTACAATATATAGTGTGTTCTGCTTAAAAATTTAGAACCAGAGCCATTTCCGGTAAAACCGGAAGTGACCGGAAAGTGAAAAATATGCGAAAAGTCTCCTCTTTACACACCATTTACCAATACCAAATCTCATTTTGATACACCTAATGGTCTAGAAGTTATGACTTGTCTAATAGATTCGTTGACACCCGGTATACAAGAAGCTCAAAGTCATTTCCACACAATGTTCATAAAATGAACAACAATGGTAGATTTCGGGAGAAAAACAACTACTACTACATCCTCCCGAAATCTATGCATCGACTCGTATATATACACAAATACTGATACATTTGATTCTTTCGTGAATGCCTGTCGATTTCGATTCAGCCAAGCCACGCTAGACACACAAAAATAATAATAATTATTAAAAAAAAATCTCATAAAAAGTACATCATTATGACATGATGAAATAAATTGGTGAATGAGAAATCATTCAGTCAGGTTTGATTTTCTCTTTGCAAGAGGATATATTTCTTGAATTTAATATTACTCCAACTTTATTAATTAATTTTGGAACGATAATTGAATTAAATACACAAGAGATATGAATTCCAATAATAATTCAGTGACTTCGAAATAACTACCTTCTGATACATACATCAAACTACCTAACAGTGATAATTGTACAACTATTTAGATTGATATTCGAAGTTAAATCAAACTTCGTCAATTCATAAACATTTGCAATAAAGATGAACTCAATTTCAAGAGGCGATCGATCAGACATCAGGGTTTTCGTCAATCAAAATGTTATCGATGAATAGCTAATAGCTGTAGTTCCTAAATATACCTACCTATACACAAACAAAGTCACTTTTGATAGTAGATCGAACAAAGTCACTTTTGATCCGAATGAAACATGCTATTTTTTTGCAACCGAAAGAATTAACTGAAATAACTATGTGAAATAATCACCAATGCCGTGCCATATGTATGCAATGAAAACATACTGCTCTCTCTTTTCTAATCTCTCTATTGAGTAGAATCCATTGAGTAAAATATCATTGCCCATTGTTTGATTCAGTCCGGATTTGAAGTTGAACATTCCCCCTTAACTATTTCTCGTGGATCTGGGTGATTCGGCTTACCCTTCCTGAAAATTAATCTTCTTCAAGTCGCCTGAATTTCACTTTCCAGGATCTGAAATTGATCCACTAAAGGAATATTCCGTCGATATTGAAGACGAGACGAAAT